TGTTGGCGACCGCCGGCAAGCGTCAAGAACAGGTCAGAAATGAAGTGGTGGAGAAGCGAGCATGGCACCTGTATACCAACCGCCTGCGTCGCAAGTATACGTTTAGCAAGAAGCAGCGGTTTCGGAGTCAGCGACTGGTGCCGGGAGCTGACGGCATTGGCGTTTCCAAAACACATTTTTCGTCGGGCCGAGAGCGTTACGCCTTTGATTGCACGGAGGTGGCTCGCGAGCGTGCAGATGCAGCGCAGGTCAAGGGGCTCCGTCTTGTCGCCAAGAAGAGTCGAGCTGAGAAAAAGTTGAGGTTCTATGAACAAAGCGTCAAAACGCAATCGGCTGCCCAAGCGATGGCCGACTGCTTCAACAAATGTTTGCAGGCTTGTTTTTCCAGTCCTCAGCCCACATTGCTCCTCAATTTTGTGCCTTGTGCGATTTACGAGGTTGATGATGCCAGTCGTTCAGGTGGCAGAGCCTGGTTCTTGGCCGAGCCGTTCCTCGAGGGCAGGTTCTGCCAATGGAACGCCAAACAATGCTGGTGGTGTACGGAAGAACATTGGTGTAACAGTGCGTATCGGTACTAGCGAGCTGTGTATCGACGACGTCACTCAGGCCTTCAGTCACTTTTCCTATAGACGGTCCAACTGTTCAATGCTGATCTGCAACATTCAGGGCATTTGGAATGAATCCGATGGTTTTTGGTTAACTGGCCCGGTCATTCATTCTGACACCGATGGAGAGGAGGGCATCGACAAATTTTTCCATTCCCACAGGTGCTCCAAGTTGTGCCAAATGCTCTGAAGGCATTACGTCTCTTAATATGCGTTGCCAACCACATGCTTGGCAGTTACCTGTGACTTTGTGTCTTTGTGTGTCTCTTTGTCAAAGCAAGCTGACCAGGGCCACAGCCACCCCACAAACTGGCCATGGTCTTATTATTGTCTTCGGGTTGATTTGCGACACACGATCGATAATTGAGAATTCAACTGCCAACATCCATAAACTGACCAGGTGATCCTTGACTTTGGGAAGCTCATAGTCAGCAGAGGCAGAGGCAGAGTAGCGGCAGAGGCAGGCACGTAAAAAGAGTCAGGCGCAGGCGCAGGCACAGGCAGGAATAGGGACAAGTGAACATGTGGACAAACACAAGCACACGTCCATAGATGCAGATGCAGCCACAGGTAGACACAGACGCAGACACAGACATAGACGACACACTTACAGAAGTGTGAAAGTGACAGCTGCAGATTAGCCGAACATACATCCGGATACAGACAGACAGACAGACAGACAGACAGACAGACAGACAGACAGACAGACAGACAGACAGACAGACAGACAGACAGACAGACAGACAGACAGACAGACAGACAGACAGACAGCCAGCTGTCCTTGAACCAGTTAGCCACATTAAGGTAGCCAGTTATTTGAAGCCAGTCACATGAAGCCACTGTCTGACGTTTTGCCGCAATTTTTCGTTCTTTTGGATCATCGTAACGATATTTTGTGCGCCTCATGGCTGAGCTGGGTTGGAGTTGAGGGACGGGTTGACCTTGTGGTGTCTTGGTTGGGAGATTGGTGAGCTTTTGGCAGCTTCGAGTAGATAGACTAGTTCGAGATGGAGAAGTGGGTGTCAGCACATCCTCGTGAGGTGCGCGCTGCCATCGGGCGGAGCGAGGGACCCGAGGGCACTCCGCCACCACCCGGACACTTTGGTATGCAGCCCACGTCCGGTTGCTGCGACGGCTACTTACAGGTCCGACCGCCACAGCCGCTCTCCTGCTGTTATTTCACCCGTCGCACAATGTTCATGCTGATGTACTTGGTTATGATGCCTGCCACCTCTCTCCTGCCCAAGGCCAACATTGTGATGATTCCTGAGGAATACGCCGATCAATTTGAGGAATTCTGCCGCCTCAACTGTCGGCCCTGTCCTCTGCTGTTTCGCAGTGCCCCAGGGCAGACTGATGCAGGACCACTCGCTTTGAGCGCTGTTTGACCAATGCTGGAGTGCCTGTGCGAAACATCGAGCAAGGTTGCAATGTCAGCATGTACCGGTGAGCTTGGGCCCCTGCTTCATTTGACCCACGAGCCATGATCATGGGCCACCATTATTAAACAAATCCACGTCTTGTTCAAGTCATTTTGCTGCCTCCCTCTCATGCCGGCGGGCCGCTTTTGCATGGTTGATATTCCTGTACCAATCAGTACCAACCGTCAGTGTGACCCCGTACCCCCCTTTCACGGACCCATGGTCGTCAGCATGCGGCCCGTGCCTGCTGACATGGTGGATCGAGCCACCGAAGCCACCATCGAGAGTGTGCTTGCACACGGCGCTGTCATCCATGCTGGCAATCCCCTCGCACTTGGTATTACCGATATTGACGAACCGGACTTTGGCGATCCGGTCCGCTTTGAGCCCGGGGACGTTCCCTGCTTCTGGGCTTGTGGCGTCACCTGCTCCATGGCCGTTGTCTCGGCTCGGTTGCCTCTTGTCATCACCCATAAACCGGGCTGCATGTTTATCACCGATCTTAAGGTTGGTTCTACATGGATGGTTCAAGGAGGCGGAAGCTCGCCCACTGGTGCTCATCGGCGAGAAACGCAAAGCATGTCAACTCACGTGCTTGGTTGTAGGAGGATGAAGTGGGCGAGGTCGTCAAGATGCCAGGGCTGGCCGGCTTTCCAGCTCGTTTGCAGGCGCGAATCAACACTCTTGAGGCCTTGCTTTGGGAAGATCCCATGAAGCGGGGCATCGAGTACCTGAAACTGCCCACCCAGCTTTGGCACAGTGCTGTGGCTTTGCAACGTGCAAAGCGTGTCCTCATCACTACCGGGTTCCCCTGCGTCATGGCCGACCCACCAACGGAATCGGATGGTCCACTCGGGGCCGTAGTACTCGCCGTAGCCCTCGCTCGACTTGGCATACATGTACGCAACGTGCACCTTCTCCGTTGGTTTGCTAGTGTGACGCACGGGCAGAAAAAACAAAACACAACAAATAAGGCGGTGGCGGGTGGGGACTTCTCAAAATCGGGAAGTGCCTTTCTATTTGTGACATGCTTTGTGACCAAGGACTCAAATCCTGCTTTTTGTTCTGTTCAGTCAACTATCGTGGTAGAGCCAATCAACGAAAAGGTGGTCGAGGCCGCTTTCAATCAAGCGCGCTGTTTAGCACCAGAAGTTGCGGAACAACTGGAGTTGGTCATCACGGGCGAGCTGACTGGTGCGTTGTCGACACAACCTGCCGCTGATCCAGTGTGTCTCTTTGAGTGAGACGTGCTTTTTGAAACTCGGGAGACGGCCGGTTTCTGCTTGTTATTCCCGTCAGGGCTCACAGCATTCGCGCCATGGGGGATTTTCATACACGTCGGCAGATGATGCGGCTGAGGCCATGCTCAACAAGCTGCAGGTGGACGTTTTGGTGGCCATTGAGCGCGCGGGGCTCAGCAAATCCCGGTCCTATCGCACCATGCGCGCCCGCAAAATGCACGGCGTTGTCAATATCGAGGCTCTTTTTGACGCCGCAGGTGGGCGGTAGCCTCGGTGCATCCCAGCGCGCCTTGTTCGTTTACCCCGTTCACCTCAAGTGCTAATCTGCCCCTCGCTGCGTCCCTGTTTTCTTTTCTTTTTGTGGTTGCACAGAGAAGAAAAAGCTTGTTACCATCGGGATTGGAGATGGGGGCAATGAATTGGGCATGGGCAAAGTTCGTACACACCCTGTGGCCGTAATGACCTGTGTTTCTCCTCTTTGGTATTCGATCCAGACCGCTTGTGCAGCTCGTGCGCCTTGATGCAGGCTCCTGGTTTCTGGCGCCATGGCAGGTGTCCCATCTTGTGGAATGCGCCATCTCGCTTGGGTTTTACATTGCATGTACGACATCCACTCAATTTTTGATTGCGGCTGGCGTGAGCAATTGGGGCGCCTTGGGCTTGGCTTGTGCAACGCTTCTTCTCGACGCGCATGCGCGGTCATCTACCAACGGTAGGCATGCGACATCCAGTACTTTGTTCTGTAGTTGTCTCGGTGTCATTTGAGGGGTCCTGATACCCACTTTGCATACTCTTTGCTCGTTGCGATCAGAACTGGCCCCAAAGTTGCCCACTACTGATTTTGAGCGCACTGTCTTGCGCGATATGGTCAGTGGTTGCATGCCCAGCCTCTCTTCCCGTCATGTTGGAGTGGTAGTCATCGCACAATAGCTCATATGAAAATTGCTATCCTGCAGTTCGATGCCGGATGCCGTGACGGTGTCAAGCCGGAGCAAGAGATGAGCGTAGATGGCATGCTTTATGACAACGAGCATGCCGACTTTTTGACTCGCGTGCGCCAGCTCTGTCTAAAGGATTGGGCCACTGCGTAGGCAAGCTAGGGTTTTGCACCTTCGCAACTCTTGGAAAGAATGAATTATTTTTTTCTGAAACCGCATCTCATCATACAAAGAAGGCGTTATCTTGGGAACAGCCAATTCACAACCTTTGAACGGTGGCCTCACTCAGGTGGGTGGGCTGTATTCAACGTCCAGCACTCGTGTTTGTGGCCGGAAAGTGGAGGGTCTGAACGGTGGCACAGACCGATAATAATAAACAAAAGGACACTCACTCAAGCTGTATTCGAAAAAACACAGCACTGAAGATGTCCATTTTTCCTGTCGCCGGGCCGGATTGGCAAGCTACTCATCGTCGCTTGCGCGGAACAATGGCTGCCTCGATTGACTCCTCGCTGACGTCGTCATCGTCCAATCGACTGCGGCGTTCGCGGCTGAGACTTCGGTGCGTTGGGCGCCGAGCGTTGCTCACGTTCAAGCGGTCATGGTTGGTGTCGTCATCATCATCGTGGTCGTCCTCCGAAAGGCGATCCTCAGCCTCCTCTTCATCACCTCGGAAGCTGCGGCTTCGCCCACGCGGTGCGGCACGTGTCTTCTTGTTCTACAGGTTGCAAGTAGAAGGCAGTTGAGCCAGGATGCGCAGTCATGAAGCAATTGAGTCGGTAGCCCCTGGACCACAAGCGATGACATCTGTAACAGAGTTGTTCGTTCAAGCCATGGAAAATGTGCCAGTGCCCATTGGCTGCGCCTTTGAAAAAAAAAAAAAATACCTTTTTGCGGATTGAGACATCGGGGTCCTGATTCTGGTCGTCGTCACCGACATCACCACTCTGTGTGTGATCAGCCTGTTCGGAAATTTCCTTCAGGTCATCAATGGCACTGATCTCATCTAGAGCTGCTTGTCCGTCCGACAGCTCTTGTAGGCCTTGAGCCATGAACGTAATTTGAGCCTCAATCATGTCACGGAATGTATTCTGTTTGCCAAGCACACGACACATTTTTTGAGCCAAATCTGAGTGCATGGGCACGGCGCCTGCGAAGGCTGAGAAGTGCATGGGCCGGCAAAGCATACGCGAAGGACATCCAGTTTGCGGGTTTCTTGGCGGATCATGGCTTTGCACACAGATTCTGTTGATTCGTTGACCTTTGACCAACAAGATCAAGACCAGAGATGTGAGAAGGATACGATGGGACGTGGGGTACACCTGCTGGTTCTCACCTCGCCGCGACAGCCAGCCAACTCTGTTTTCAACTTTTTGTAGGTGGATGAGTTGGTCGGGTCACGCATGCGCTGGCGCTCCAGAGCGCTTTCCTTCGTGGTAAGCTTGCCGCGCAGCCGCTCGCGCTCTGCCAGATCCGTCTGGGGACAGACAGGCTCGGGTGAGAGCACGACGCGGCGTTGAAAAGAAGGGAGCGCTCCTGAGTCAGTGGGCAGTCAAGGTCCTACGGGGCGCGGTGCACCTTGATGGATTTATAGTTTGGCGGAAAAGTCTTGAAAATATCCTGCACACGCTGCTGCGTTTGGCGTTGCTGAACAAGGCCAGCAAGACAGAAGCAATCCTGGTCAGTACGAAGCTCAAGGCTGCTGGCACTTGTGCGGATGCGTAGCGTACAGCGCCGTAAACGCATACCATATCGCGGCGGCGGGCTTGGACTTCTTTGAGGATGTCAGCCATATCTGTCTGCAAAATCGTGGCAACGGTGATGGGTGAGCAGAGCAGATGTAGCGCTAGGGCTCAGGCTGAACCAACCAGTGCCGCCTTGACGCCCGGGGTCTCCTGCTCCGAATAAATTGCCACGCTCTCAGCAAAGGCGTCCCAGCTACAAGAGCAGACGAGGGATAGCAGAATGGGCCCGACACACGTGTTGAGGATCGAGTGCCGACCACCCAGTTCGTGAGCCAAACGTGGGCCGACGGGAGGTGTGTTTGTGCGGGTGTGGATCAAAGCCACACTCTCGCCAGGCCCGTCTTACCGATCCGCCACCTTGAGTTCGGTCCGCAAGGCCTCGTGCAGAGCCACAGCCATGGCATTGAAGTGATGCTCCACAAGGCCAACCTTGCGACTCAGCATGCGCCCCAAGGCATCGCTGCCAGCGCCACCGCGCCCGTGTGTCGATCCATGTGCCGCCATAAAGCAGGTCCACCCCCTCTGGATGAGAGAAGAGATCGAGAGCAGGAGATCAAAAAAAAAAAAAAAACGAGAGAGAGCGAGAGAGCGAGAGAGCGAGAGAGCGAGAGAGCGAGAGAGCGAGAGAGCGAGAGAGCGAGAGAGCGAGAAACACACAAAAGACGAAAAATTGGCGAAATTTTGGCGTTCTCCGTTCACAGAGAGAGTCAGAGAGAGAGAGAGAGAGGAGAGAGAGTTTGAGAGAGAGTTTGAGAGAGAGAGAGAGAGAGAGTTTGTGAGAGTTTGAGAGAGAGAGTCAGAGAGAGAGTTAGAGGGAGAGAGAGTCTTCAAAAGCAAAGAGCACAAAAGTGTGCGCTCTATCAGACTTCATCGTCTTGAATTTGATCTGACATTTGCTGTTCGTGAAAGAAGGAGATCATGAAGCTAGACAAAGAGTTACAGAAGATTTTATAGACAAATTGATGTAACTTGGTGCAGTAAAAAGTAGACTTGTTGCACCTTCAAATTTACCTTTGGCCTCCAGTTTTTCAAGATGTTGCTGTACCGGTCGTGGGTTGTGGCGCTGGCGCTGGTGGCCTGCACGGGTGCCGTGGTGTCTGGTGCCCGGTTTGGGGACCGTATGCGCGGCCTGCAGGACTCGGAGGATGTTTGCAACACCTCACATTATGACCAGGCCGATGAGCGGGCCGTGGTCTGCTATGCGGTGCGTGGGTGCGGCGCCCTCTGAATGCTTTTTTTTTTTTGGCGATGGCTCCCGTTACATACACATTCCCACACATACACATACACATGCCCCCGCCCCAGCCAGGTCACTGGTATTCTCACTGGCTTTCTCTCCCGTGTGGCTCGACGTGGTAGGGTAACTTTTTGGTGAAGATGCTGGGCGAACTTAATGCCGGGCAAAATAAAACGGTCGAGCATGTGCGCGTGCATTTGCTGCCGTACCTGGGTGGTCCTGCCGTGCTCAATGCTCTGACTTCGGACGATCCTGATGATCCCAATTGCCGTGCTTGCTACACAGACAACGCCACTGCTGCTGGTACGTGATGTGCGCGTGTTTGAAACCAGATGGGGGCCAGGTTGGGTTGGGCTGGGTGGATGTTTTTGCTCCCCCTGCTTGCTCATATGCCGTTGTAACTGTCCGTGGGTGCACCTGTGCCAGGTCTGAGCGGACTGCGCAATAGCCTGTCGTCCGAGGAGCTGCAGGCGTATGATCAGCTGGAGGCCTGCTACGTGCGCATGACCTCCCGCGTCCTGGATCGCCTTCCCCAGTCAGCCGATGGCGTGTGGCTTCTGCCCAGTGCCGAATATCGCGGGCACGAGGTCACACAGGTCCTCGACCTCTTTGATCAGCTCTTCAAGGAGCAGTACTTCCATCCGAATAGCTGTTTGGTCACCGCGCCTTGAGCGTGACAGCTGGACAATTGCAGCTCGTTTTCTCATTGGATGACTCGATTTTGATGGCCTCATCCGACATCACGTCGCACAAACAAACTCTCAAAGAAAACACCAAAATCAAAAAAAGAGTAACCAAATTGTCTATAAGCATCACCAGGCACGCGAGGCGTGGAACCCTAAAATGAATCCAGGAGGTCACTGCACGTGCATTGGGAGCAAAGGTAGTGCCAGATGTCATAAAACGACGCCCATAGCACTGTCTCTGCGATAAATAGCTTCCAAACCAGGAACAGCTGTTCCCAGCAAGAGAAGAACTCGATGAACACAGGGAAACAAAACTTGGATCAACACCAACTACTGAACATGGCTTAGCACCGTCACTTGGGTCAGGTCTGTCGCCGAGTCAAAGTGCTGGTTTGCCAAAGTGTCGGTGGTTGCAGCAGCTGCGCCGACCTTGGATGGCACCCGAGTTGCAAAGAGAGGGAGCTCGGTGGAAGTGGCTGATGGCGACCACCAGCCCTTGAGGTGCTGCACCGTTTGCGTGATAATGGCTCCCATGCTACTTGACCACGAAGCCACAGAGTCCGTCTCTGATGCCTCGGACACTTGACTAGAGGCGTAGCTTGAAGCCAAGGAGAGCGGGGCCGAGCGTAGGGAGCTGGTTAGCGACTGCACCTCGGGATCAGTTGCCGAGAAGGCACGGCGCTCGCCGTGGTGCAGAAACACCAACGCTTGGTTTTCCTCAATAACGTCCCAGTCCGCGGGCAGGTCCTCCAAGTGCAGAGCGTAGCGCGCCCGCATGTGGCCAGGATGTGACCAGGTGACCCGACGTGTCGCGGGGTGCACAAAGTAGGCCTGGCGGGCATCGATTTTAAAATGCTCTTCCCAGCCCGGCGGCAGAGTCGGGGCCACGGCCGTCGTATGGTCCGGTTCGTCCAGGTCCACGCTGTGCAGGGCAAAGCGTGCAATGTCGGGGCGCTCCAGGCTGTCATCGCTGCAAAAGCTCCAGTCATCATCCCCCATGGATTGCCGCGTCGGCGCGTCCGCATTTGGCGGTTGTCGAACAGCAAAGGCGGGCCAATCAGATGGGGCTTCCCGGGCACTCGTACCCACATAGTCGGCATACGAGGGCGGGGGCGGGGTACGCGTGCCGTCACTGGGCGGGGATGAGGGGACGTTGCCCGCGGGTGGTCGCGCTTGAAGTACCGCATCAATTTGATGCAAAAGGTTGTTGGTGCGTTGCCCTTCCCGGAAAGAGTAGAGTTGGACGTAGTAGGCATTGAGGGCATCGTCTTGGGCACGAGAGAGCCACGACGGCCGGCGCTCAGTGCGGCGGGCCGTGTGGGAGATGAAATAGGGCTCATCGTCATCGTCAAACTCAAGTTCCCAGCCCGTGGGCAAGGCGAGCCGCCGCAATGATGGCGGCAGGTGATCATCGAGGCGTGGGTCGACAAAGGTGGTCCTGCGATCCGCATGCCTATCCAAGTGGAGTTGCCCGGGCGCAACGAAGTGAGGAGCAGACGCCATGCATAGTCGGGTAAGCTGAAAGCCCGGGCGCACAGCATCGCGATTCAAACGAAGCTTGGGGCGATGGCAGAAGCCCGGACAACGTACCATACAAAGAGGTGGCGCCCGGCCTGGATCACGCTAGACCAGCCGGCCGGTAGAGGTTGATGCGCGGCGGCACGTCGCGGCGGGCACCAGACGCTGTCCGGCGACTGGGCTGTGCAGTGTGCAGGGTCGTTGGTCTGACCTGGGTACTCGGGGGGAGTCGGCAGGATCTGGTCCAGTGCCTCAACGGCTGGGTTGGACGCTGCTTTGCGTTGCGTTTCGGCACAACCCCCTGGAGCTGCTGCGACTGGGGCAGGCGGGTTGGAAGGCCGCGCCATGGCCAAACGAATGGCGCCGTCATCGACCGACCACCCGGCATCCATCCCCGGGGGTGGTGATCACTTTTGTAGGAAGGAACCGTTTGGAGATGCCACGCGGCGAGTCGAGCTCGCGCTCGCTCGCGCACTTGCGGGCTGATAGGGCAGCACCAAGGCGACCGGCTCGTTTGGGCCGCGCTTGACTCGAGCGAGAGGTAAATATACACGATTCAAGGCTGCAGGAGGGGAAGAAAGAAGGGGTCCAGAATCGGTAGCAGGGATGTGTCTGTGCGCGCAAGAGGCCGGGCGGTCGCGCAGCTCCCGAGCCGCGGTGCGGGCAGGCAGGCAGGCAGCACTCGAGGCGGGCGGCGGAAACAATGGACAGGCAACCCAATGGATTCCCTTGATGAATGAGGTATTTGGGGAAGCGTTGCGGACGGCAAGTGTGGCAGCACAGTTGAGTTCTCGGGGAAGGGGGGGCTGGTGGGCGATGCAAGTGGGCATGCCCGTTGCCCGCTCGTTAGTGCTCAGATGGTGGATCCGCTTTTCAGACGGACGAACCGGCGTATCCGCTGGCGCATTCCAGCGACCCCCGCGCGGGCGCCATGGCCTTTGTCGTGCCCTTGCCTTGCTCTCTCACCCGACGTCAATCGGTCAGGATCTCAGGGGAACGTTGAAACAGAAAAACGAGAGAAAGGCAACGACAAACACAAGGCAGAAACAATGAGGCCAAGGCTACACTCGAGCTTCCACCCCAACCCCTGCACAGAGAGGTTCTTAACGGCCTGTTTACCGGCTCTCCTTTGAACTTGTTGGGGGAGAGACTCACACACACTCACATACACACTCATACACATGTGGGGTTAGAGTTTAAGCCGGGCGCTTCGTCAGGGAGTTTGGTCCGGGAATGTTCTTGCATGCATGTATGCATATCTTAACAGCAACGGCTGTGTAAAACAGGTGTTTGAACACAATGATATAAAGCAACAGCTGTTGTGCGACTAGAATTTTGTACACGTTGGAAAACCGTGTTGTAGCGTTAGCTGCCAGGTCAGCAGCACAAACAGTCATTTGTCAGATTATTCTGGCGATCGAAGGTGAGAGAGCGAGAAAGGGCGCGAAACGTCTCTCGCGGCATCGGCGGCAGCATCGGCGGCATCGGGCCGGGCGGTAGCGTGACGTTGTGGCTGCTGCTGCTGCTGCTGCTGGTGGTGGTGTGTGTATTTGTGTGTTTGCGTGGGTGGGTGGGTGCCAGCAAGGGCTGATGGGAATGAAAAGGGGTCTGGCAAAGGTGACGACAAGCAGGAGTGTGTGCGAGGAGGCTGTCGAGCCAGACCGACAAAACTGTAGAGGGGACCGGAGGCTCGGCTTGGGCCCAATTGCCAGCTCGCACAGCATGTTTTGTTGATGGTGCAGCGGTACCCAACGACCACCCGTTCATCCGGAACTTCTTGTCCTCTTGTGCTGATCAGGCTGTGCTGGACCACCACAATGGCGCACTTTTGGATGCTCACCGCGGCGCTACTGGCTTGTTTGGTTTGCGCGCGCGCCAGCGGCCCCATCGGTACGTTTTGTTTGCAAAGCGGGCTGCGCCGAAGCCACGGACCGAGCAGGTTGTGCATTCTCACTTGAAATTGACCTCTGGCGTGGCCTGCTTGCTTGCTTATGATCAGGCTATGACGAGGTGACGTGTGGAAGTACGATGCGCATCAACCATGTCGCGACGCGACTCAACCTGCGTTCACACGAGGTTGCCTACGGCACGGGTTCAGGCCAGCAGGTGTGTGCGCTCCTCTGCGGGTGACAAGCTGATATCAAGCAAGGATTGCCATTTTTGTCTCCCATCCGCTGCCCCCCTTGAGGCAACCTGGCTGCTGTTGACGCCAGCTCCCGCCTCACCGGCAACATCGTGCTTCCGTTGGGTGTCAGTCGGTCACACTGGCTTCAAGCGACTCGGACAGCAACGATTACTGGCAAATTCGGGCCCCCAACGGCAAGGATTGCAAGCAAGGGTGAGTGCCTCTGAATCATGCGCACCGGGACTCCGGGATCTGGCTCACTCGGCCGATGCATTTTCTGCGGGCTGCTTGACAGTGCGCGCATCAAGTGTGGCGCCACTATCCGCCTGCTGCACACGGCCACGCGCAAGTTTTTGCACAGCCACCAGTTCCAGTCACCGCTCAGTCACAACCAGGAAGTTTCAGCCTATGCCCGAGAGGATGGCGAGGGTGATTCTGGTGAGTTTGGTTACAACCCCTGCTGTCTCGCAGACAAGGGCCTTCAAAGCGCGCAAGTGCTTCTTTTCTTCTCTCCTTTACCTTTTCCTTCTCCTTCTCATTCTTGTTCTCTGTATGTTTCTCACGCACATATTCACGACTGCTTTGATTTGTTCAGGTGACAACTGGAAGGTCGAGTGCTCGGGTACCTACTGGGAACGTGCCAACACGTTCAAGCTGCGCCACGCGGACACGAACCAGGTTGGTCTCAGCCCTTCCGCCCGCCTCGAATGCCCTTGGTTCTTTCTCGCTGCTTGCTTAGCACACCCAAACATGCCGAGCACTCACCCTTTCTGACGCCTTGATCCAATGGCCCTGTAACTAGTATTTGCACTCAACAGGAGCACACAAGTTTAACCGACCCATTGCCGGTCAGCGGGAGGTGTGCGCCGTGGGCCAGGCCTCTCGTTTGTCCGAGTGGAAGTCGGCCGAGGGTTACTTTATCAAGGCCGCAAAAGCAAACAATTAAGGCGTTGCTGCCAAGGCATCTGGTTCGGTCCCGCCGATACCCTGTTGTGCCTGCTGCAGCCGAGACTGGCTGTGTCGGGCCCGCGCCGGCGCCTCTGTTGACAGAGTTGGGTTGCGGTGTGACCATTAAAAGTCAAGTTGATTCAAAATACACTCGGTGGCTTTCTTTTTTCATGACCATGATGCCCCCAAGAAAACAGAAGAAAACGCCCGCGTATGACTTGTCTTGAATGTCTGTTCAATTGACTGGTGCGGCCACTCTGGGCTTGGCCCAGAGTGGAGCAAAACTGGGACACACATACATATACACGGCGAGAGGGATAGCAAGATGGGACGGAGGAATGGACAGACACAAGGGCGAACGCATGGTTGGGCAAAGGGGCAGGTCGGTGAGCAGACGGACGTGCCAGATGGGCGTGCCCACGCTGTTTCTGCCTGGCCTGCGCGCTTTCAAGCCAACAAACAGCAAACGCCAAAAGCACACGCTGGATCGGGAGGGGCTGCCACGGGTGCAGGTCACGGAAAGAAGAAGAAAAAAAAAAAAGCCCAGGGATAAGTCAGCATAAGAGCTGGCTGGACTGCAAGTGAGAGCAGAGCAGCAAAGATCATGGATGATACAGCGTGGCAAGAGACTCTGGGTGGCGTGACAAAGCAATCGTGCTAGTCACGCAAGTTCAAATACACTGGGACGGATGGAGAGCTTAAAACAACATTTACAAGATCGAAAAATCAAAACGGGAGGAAGATCAAATCGACGGAGGCGTCAGACGAGCCAACGTCAAAGGCGGGCAAAGCCCTTCTTGGCTGCAAGTTGGCGGCGCTTGACGGGGCTTTACCAAGCGTGCTTGCCACCCTTCTTCTTGCCCTTGACCTTGAGCGCCTTGCGCTTGCGTTCCACCGGCATGTTGCGCACCTGGCGCTGGAAGCGCATCTTCCGCAGCTGGGCCTGTCAGGCAAACGAACCAGGGTGCGGTTGAGAGATGGGAGAGCATCAACGACAACTTGCCGTTGTCTCCCGCCATCGATTGGACATACCTGCGAGAGGCCGGCGCCCTCAGCGGGGGCAGCGTCTTCCACCTCCATGCTCTCAGTTGCTGCGGGAGTCGTCTCCTGCACCTCCTCAGCGGGTTGGGTGGTGGCGGCCGCAGTTGCCGCGGCGTCTTGCTGCTCCTCGAGCGTAGCCTTGACTTGCTCTAGATGGTGCGCACGCGCGCGTGAGATGTGACAGGCTAAGCCAGAACGAGCTCTCAAGATCGGGGGAGAAAAGCGAGACAAAGGCTTACCCTCAACCACAGCCTGGCGCTTGGCGATAATCTTCTCGCGCTTGGCAGCGCGATGCTGGCGCTTGACCTTGCTGCGGAGCGACTTGGCCATCTTGACAAGGTGCAGCCGGAAAAAAAAAAAAAAAAGAGAGAGATAGAGAGCAGACGTCGAGCAGACAGAGAGACACGTGTGTGAGTGTTTGAGTTTGTGAGTGGTTATGATTGCTTTGTCAGACAATCTTAAACAGTATCTCACTGCATTCGCGGCTTGATTGACTCAAATAAAGTAAAATACATACTTGCCAACTTTGGCATCGTGCCAGGATTGGCACTGCGGACAAGCTTGGCCCAGGGAGAGAGAGAGAGAGAGAGAGAGAGAGAGAGAGAGAAGCTAGGGAGATCGGTGGCACGATTGAGGTTCATTTCGAGTTCAATTTGTGTACGTCAAGGATCGAAGCGACGGACACAGGGACGGGAGGTGGGCAGAGGCCGAGGCCATACACGGTTGTTGACAACGACACAGACGCGGGGGGTTTTTTCGCTCTGCATCCAGCCGAGCTCACGTATTTTTCAACTGCCAGCTGGTCTGCGCAGCGCCTTCTCAGCACCTTCTTGGTCGCGTCCACGCTTCCACTTCACCAAGATCCCTCCCATCAGCTCAGCAGCATGGCAGCGACCAGCCCGCCTTCGATGATGGCCACTCCTGAGCCCGATGAGCGTCGCCTCATGAGCGCTCTGCTTCAACGCATGCAAAAGTACGGGCAAGCATTGAGGCCTCGTCCTGTCTCGCCCTGTCCTGGTTTCAAGCTTGACACAAGCCCTGACCTGCACACGCCTTGGCGATTGTGGATATAACCGATGACGCTTCTGCTAGGGACTTGGTCTTTGAACTTCGTGTCATCACGCACCAGCAGCCAGTTAAGGGTGAGCAGAAACAGCGAGCCCGACGCCGCATCGAGCGCTTCCTGTACGTTGCTACTTGTCGCTTTTGCATTGGTCGGCATCGGTTGGCCTTGCCATCGTCTATCCTCCGTCTTTGGACTGTAGCTGGCGATCATGAATGTTTTGTGGAAGCTTACTCTGGCATCAATGTTGCAACAGCTTGCGCCAGCTGGGCGAGGAACCAGTGTCCGAATCGAGCTATAGCTCATCATCTACCGCCACTTCCGGGCAGGTCCCGACAGGGGATCCCTCGTCAGACACATCAGGTCACGACTGGATCGTCACCCCACTGCACGATGACGACGGCGACGGCGAGGAAGCCAGCATGATGGCCGATGAAGAGTTGCTGTCGGAGGAGGAGGTGGATGAGGAAGACACAACAGGCCTGTACGAGCCACGCCGCGAAGTGGCCACAGACACGGCCATCGCAGCTGCTCAGCTCAACCAAGAGAACCCGATCCATCATTTGGTTGGCTATGATGGGAGTGGAGCGAGTACCACGGATCCCGAGCCAGCAGCAGCCGAGAATGTTGAGGATGCAGGCGCCATCGAAAGTGGCGCTGCCTCTGCCGAAGACGACGTCCTAATTGCTGCTCCCACCCCTCGCGAGGAGCGGGCGCAGCGCTTGGCTGAGCTGGATCTTCTGCGACAGCGTGGTGGACTGGTTCGCGCCCTCCTGCAGCGGCCCAACTTTGTCAGCGCCATCTCTAACAGCCTGGCTCAACCAGCAGGCTCTACGCGCGTCCCTGGTCCCCGGCCCCAGGCCAACCATCGTGCAGCCGATGCGGAGGTGTCGGTCGAGCCCGAACAGCGCCCCGACGCCTCTCCGCTGCCGCTGCGTCGCATCGTCTTGAGTCAATCAGACGCATGGGACAGTGATGCCAGCGACGCTGAGGCGGAGCCTGAGGCCTTTACCCAGCCAGCCTCGCAGGCCGCTGCCAACCCTCAGCCCATGAGTAACCAGCCGCGCGCTCAGTCGCCACCCGAGGGTGAGCCTTCCGTACGCGCGCCCATGCCCCCACGCATCATGCGCTTGAATGCCCCATTGTTCAACGCCAATGTCCGCCCGCAGCGCGAAACCGTTGAGGTCAGTCCGTTTCCTGCATGTTCCCCCGTCATTCCAAAGATTAGGCTTTGCTTCACCGCAGTCCCTTACACCCTCCTGCTTCTTTTTTCGCCTCTGCTGTGGTGTGGTGTGGTGTGGTGTGCACGTGCGTGTGTGTTCCGGTGGAGCGCAGGACGTCCAAGAATTATTGACACGCCGCCTCGTCTCGGGCATTCTGCACGGGCAATTCCGGCCGGTCCTTGAATTCCACTTGGGATCAAGGCTCCAGGGTGGCGGTAACATGAGCTCAGAGGAGCTACAACGGGCCCTGTATCGGCGACGCCAGCAGCGGCACCGCGACCGAGCGGCCCAAGCTGCGCAGGCCCCATCTCCCGCACAAACACCACAGCGACCGGCCCAGGACCAGACACAGGCACCCTTGCATGCCGCCTCGCCGGCCGCAGGCATTCCAGACCACGTGCATGCTCATGCACCTCAAGGACATGTGCATGCGCATCCCCACGCGCATCCCCATGCACCCACCCATGTACAGACAGAAGGGGCAACCCCAGTGCCTCCGCCGGTCTCATCGTCTTCGGCCTCCATGGCAGCCACCATCGCCGATTTGCAGGCTCAGGTGGCCGCCTTGACTGACTTGATGCAGGCTAGCTTGCGTTTGCAAGCCGATGTGCGCCGTTGCGTGCGGCAAGAGGTTTCATCGGCTCTAGCCCGCGTGGGGGACCCAACGAGTTTGCAGTTTGAGCGACCGGCGGTCCGGTATGTCTGGACACACTCAGATCAAGGGGAATGAGTGCTTCTGAAATGAGCTCATTGTTCACACTATGTTGTTGCTTTTGGGGTGGTACATTCACAGGGGTGCGGCGCACGGCAGCAACTGCGTGGTGTGCATGGAAGAAAGTGCTGACACCATCATGTACCGCTGTGGCCATCTGTGCGCATGCCTCAGCTGCGCCACTGCTCTCATGGTTGGTCCTATCATCTTCTTATCCTTGTTGAGCGTTCGGACCCTTGCTCGTTTGCGCTGCAGCCTGCTTCCCAAGTGCTTACATGCCCTAACCTTGCTGCTCTGTACCACCAGGAGCGCGAGCTGTCGTGTCCAGTCTGTCGCAGTCCCATCTTGGACATTATGCAGGTGTATCTCCCCTGATTTCCACCAGAAGCTTGCCGTCGACACCCAAGCTCCCACTGAACCCCTCTTCCCCGTTGAGCTTTGCTGGTCAAAGTTCGTACCTGTCGTCTGTCAAAACTGTCAGCTGTGCGTCTGCCTTGGGCTGTCGAGTATCAACATGTCAAGCGATATCAACATGTCAAGCAATAAGCAATTGACCAACGTGTGTGTACATTGACCTATGGTGCCATAGCAGAACACACAGACAGAGAGAGAGAGATGAGGTCAGAGAAAGAGAGAAAGAGGTATAAACAGCAAAGTATAAACAGCAAAGGACATAGGGCTTCGAGGAATAGCACAACTACCACATGTAAAGAGAGAGTTTGAGAGAGTTGAGAGAGAGAGCAAAAGTATGACGTATGTCAAACTATAAATGAATTTGAAGTGTAACAGTTCTCACAGTAAAGTGTGACTTGATCCAAGCAAGCGTCGCACACGCCCTTCTCGCCAGTTTGCAGCTGTTAAGCACAAACTACCCAAATCAATACAAATGTTCACACTAAGATTATTAACAAAACTGCAATAACTTTTTATATAACCAACATTAACCTTCACTTCATTTGCTTGTTGTCATTTCGACCGGTCCAGAATGGCGTCCAACGAACCGCTCTTGGGAGCTCAAGACGAGGATGAGGTGGAGGTGGAGATCACTGGCTCGGCGGCCAGTGGTCAGGCTGTGCATGTGGATATGGACGGTGCCGGGGCCAGTGCTTCCACGGACCCGGAGGATGGGCCGCGTCCGGCTGCGCAAAATGCAGAGCAGCGGCTTTTGCAGCGCAAGGCCGAGCACTTTGAGCAGATGAAGTCGCAGATGCGTGGGAACCGCCCCTCCGTCTCCATTGCCTACCGCCACCTCGGCTTTGTGGTCAACGGCAACAAGCGTATCCTCCACGACCTGAGCGGCGAGATCAAGGGTGGAGAGCTTGTGGCCCTCATGGGTCCCAGTGGTGCGTGTGGTGCACGGGGCTCGCTTCAGCTAACAAGGCGGCTTGTCGCTCGCTCATCGCGCTCATCTCTTGTTGTTGTTGTCGGTCGTCGAACCACCTAGGTGCGGGCAAGTCGACCTTGCTCAACGTCCTCGCGGGCTTTCGCACTCGGCAAAGCGAGGGCCGCGTCCTCATCAACGGACACGATCGTGACCTCAAGCGCTATCGCAAGATGGCCTGCTTCGTCATGCAGGTCAGTGTGTGTGTGTGTGTGTGTGTGCGTGTGCGTGTGTGCGCTCCCATTACATGCGTGGTGAAGGTGCTGCAACTGGGTTCTTTTCTTTCTGATCAACTCCGTCACGTACACCTACAACTTGCAGGACGATGTCTTGTTCAAGAACCTGACCGTGGCCGAGTACCTCATGATTTCCTGCAACCTACGCTTCGACCCCGAGATGACCGTCTTTGAGAAGAAGCAGATTATCCAGTCGGTCAGTCTCCTTCCCAAATGTTGAGACTTTCGGTCATCTGCACCGCATGGGCATGGGCATGTGCAGACACCCCTTTCAACCCACCCAGCATCCAAACCCACTGCACTCGTCCCCAGCTGATCATGACCTATCTTGACACATCTATGCCTTCCTGCCTCGCCTTTTTTACAGACCGTCGAGCAGATTGGTATTGCTGAATGCCTTGATCGCACTGTTATCCAGCTCTCTGGCGGCCAACGCAAGCGCCTCGCCGTGGCCCTTGAAATCGTTTCCGATCCCCCGCTTCTCTTCCTTGATGAACCTGTACGCTGAGCTGCCGTGATTTGGGTCTTTGGGTTTCGCCACTCTCCTGCCCCAGCCCCGATACCACAAGTCCTCACCCACCTCGTGGCTGTGTGCAGACTTCGGGCTTGGATTCCACCAGCGCCGTGTCCCTCGTTGAAATGCTCCGCAGCCTTGCCCAGAGTGGACGCACTGTTGTGGCCAGCATTCACCAGCCCTCCGCCACACTCTTTGAGCTCTTTGATCGCGTACGTTGCCCCTCTCCATTTTCTCTTCTACAGCCATGTCCTGTGCTCTCTTGCCCGCGCCAAGGGATGTGCCGTTGGCCTCACACGCGCGCTCTCATACATCCCCGTTGCCCACCCACTACCCCGTAAAACGTGCAGACGGTGGTGCTTTCAGGTGGTCAAATCCTCTACGATGGACCTGTGAACGAGGTCGTCCCGTACTTCAAGTCACAAAACGTCGAATGCCCGGCTTATCACAACCCCGCCGACTTTTTGCTCGAGGTTTGGCCCAAACCGCCGCCCCGCTCCCCCCTCCCCTCTGGTCCTTCATCAACTTTGACCTGTCAATCCGATACTCATCCAACTTATGCGTGCGCAGGTGGCCAACGGTGTCAAGGGCTCTCCGGCCGCTCTTCTTACCAACTGGCGCAATGATCATCCTCCGGGCGAGGTGGCCCTCGGCGATCAAGTTGCTGTATGTGCCTTCTCCACCCCCCTCCCCACCCTTTTCCCCTACGCGCGTGCCCTGTCTTCTTCTGATTCCATTGCAGGCGGATGTGGAAGAAATGCTGTTCCTGCACGTACATCTCATGAATCAACGACCTGCCTTGTTCGCCCATGCTTTTCGTCGCCACAGTTGGAGGCAGTGCACTCACGTGGGCGTGGGCTCTACCCTATCTCGGTTGCGGACCAGTTTAAAATCTTGCTCAAGCGCGCGTTCAAGGACGTGATTCGTGATACGCTTCTGACCCGCATGCGGGCCGGCGCTCACGTTGCCGTGGGCATTATCATCGGTGTGCTGTATCTGCATCAGGGCGTTCACAGTGACAAGATCCCCTCGGTCGTGGGTTACTACTTCTTTTCCCTTCTCTTCCTGATGCTGGCCTCGGTCATGCCCACCGTGCTTTCCTTTCCCATTGAGAAGGAGATCTTTGCCCGCGAGCACTTGAATAACTGGTATTCTGTCAAAGCCTACTACTTTGCCAAGAGCCTCAGCGATTTCCCCTTCCAAGTCGTCTTCCCCATCATTTACATGTCCATCAGCTACTGGATGACCGACCAGCCTTCAGAAGCGGGTCGCTTTTTCAAGGTCTTGGCAGCTGCCGTGCTGCATACCCAGGTGGCCCAGGCGATGGGCATCGTCATCTCCACAGCCGCACCTACCCCACAAGTTGCCGTCTTCATGGCCCCAATGAGCTCCATCCCCATGATGCTGTTTTCAGGCTTTTTTGTGCTCATCAACGGCATCCCCATTGCCCTGCGCTGGCTGACCTTCCTCTCCTACTTCCGCTTCACGCTGCAAGCCATGCTCATTGCCATTCTCAAGGACAAGAAGCTGGATTGTGTCGGTCCTCCCGCCTCCGATGGCTCTTGCGTGGGCGAGTACGTGGGCGCTCAGGGCCTCCTGCTCGTTTGTTGATGCCCTGTGTCCCTTGTAGTGCTGCTTTGCGCAGCTCACACTTGCTATTCTCACCCTTTGCTCTTCACCCCCCCTGCCCCTGTAGACCGTTTGCGGACGGCAACGCCGTTCTTCGATACTATCACTATGACACACAATCGTACGAGCTCATGATGGGTTTGCTCTTGGCCTTCTTCTTCTTTTTCAAGATCGTGGCCTATCTGCTGCTGCGTCGCGTTGCCAAACGACCCAACTAAGCACGGCGTGCCCATTTGAGGTGGCGCAAGTGGTGCCCGCATTACTTTGGCGCAGCTCTCGTTTAACACGTGGTTTTCCATCCCTTTTGACGGGTTTGAGTTGTTGATTGCTTTCGGTGTCTTCGTTCCTGTCTTTTGCTGAAAAGACCCGAGCCAGTGCCGTCCGCGCCATCCTTTGGGTACACGATGAGGGCCGTGGTATTTGTTCGCGCTTGGTGCGCAAAAAAAAGTGTCTTTTGTTGTTGGTTCTGTGGTCTTTATTTCTTTTCTCTTTCTTGAATGGCACGAGGCACAAGCGTGATAGTCGTTGGCCAATTGGATATTATGAACGTTGCTGCGACTCGTTTGCAAATGAAATGAAAACCACAAATACACGCGCATTCGTTTTCTCGACTGGCCGGTTCACTCATGCAATCACCGGTATGGTCCAGTTTCCAGCTTATTCCTCTGATAGCTGGATATAATCGCCGTTGCGGTCTGGCTGCAGCTGGACCTCGATCTTGTATTGCTGGCGATGTTTGCTCAGAAAATACCACGTGCCTGCAGACCAAATTATCCCATGAGCTCACGCGTATCACAAAGACCGACATTGAACACACGGGGCCGCACGAAACGCACCAAACACGCTCAGCAAGAGCCCAATGCTGAGACAGGCGATGGCAATGGCTGCGACATGCCCGCCGTCATACTTGTGCTTGGCACATGTATGATCCACGCGATCAGACGAAGGGAGGACAAACGAAACCAGCGCGGCCCCGATGGCCCAGCCCGCTTGGCTGGTGTTCAAAGCGTGTTGACTCAAATCAAAACCGTGCTCCAATACCAGCAGTTCTTCGAGCAGATGCTCGCAGGTCCACTATACAAGCGCAGGCAGTTGAATCAGTCAATGAAACATGCCTAATATTTTGCTCTCCGCCGCAACACTCTTTCGACCCTAAAAGGTACGTCCGCGCGCCGGCCGCATGACCTACGTTGGCATTTGGGGCGTCCAAATGGGGATACTTTGCCAAAACTTGTGCCACGTTCTTGTTGCAAACATCCTGCAGAAGCACGAGAGACTGTTGGGTGAGGCTTTTTCGAAGCTCAGCTCGCAATCCCAAAGCATCGGCACCTGAGCAGCGGTTGTCATGGCATCGGTGGTCACGCTGGTGATATCCAAGTCTGTAAAGGCCCTGTTGGGAACCATCGCCGGGAACACACAAAATCAACAACAAGAGCAGCGACTCGTGAGGCCGAGGCAGGGGTATTCAGCCAAGCTTGCAATGGTGGCGTTTGGGAACTAATTGATGCAGATATTGATGATGTGGGGTAGCTTGAAGGCCTGGTACAGCCATACCAATAATAGCTGGCGTGTAGCTCAAAAGGCAGGTTGCTTGGAATGGCGGGAATGGGTGTATTGTCGAGCGAGCACGTTTCGGCTGCGCTCAAGGTTGGACAGTCCGTATGAAGGTTTGAATCGACCGAAGCACGGCATTGGTCATAAGACGCAGCCCCATGCAGTTCACACGTGGCGACGCTAGTGTCCATGGCGTTGACAAGCAGACACGGGTCAGGTGTCGGTGGGCTGGCATTGCAAAGCCCCGCCGCAGTCACACGATGCTGGTTGAAGGCATCACTGCCATACTCGGCAAAGCTCGTCGCAAAGACGTGCAGAGTTGAGCCTGGAAAGGCGAATTGCGTGATGGGCTGGCCTTTTATTTGCCCCGCAACAGATGTAGGCACGGCGTATGCAATCTCCAGGCTCGAGCCGCCCATGTCAATCATGCCTAGCGTTTGGGCGGGATCTGTGATTTGAAATCCGTGGGCGAGATAGTTGGCGCTCACCCAGCCAAAGTAGGCCTAAATGCAAGACGCACAGGCGAGGTCGTTACATCGACATTTGACATGATTAAGCGCTGGAAGGAGCTGTGGGCCGCAGCTGTGCGGTCAGTGGAGACTGGCGACTGACCTCCTGTGAGCCAGGAATGACCTGAACTCGGGAGGGATCGAAAAGGAAAGTGCCGCGGGATAGAACCGCACTGGCCCAGGTCATGACTTGCTCCTAGCATAGAAATTGAAACAGATCAGAGGGTAAGGCGGGGGGAGGCGGGAGGCATGTTGAATGGGACACTTTAGGTGGCAGGGGGCGGACCTGTGTGCGGTAGGGGAGAACTCGCATGCCAGCTGTTGCCATAAGCGTCAGAGGAACGACAGCGAGATCTAGATTCTGTCAGCCATGGGTGTACAGGGCATGGCCATGCATCCAAATTAAAATGCCTCGCATTGACAGTACAGTACTGGCCAGGGTGGTTTGTGCCAACCTTGTCGAGGCTTGCGGCGCAGGTCAGCAACCCCTGCAGGGCGTCATTCACGGCTGACAGGCTTGTCGCCTGCGCAAGCGGTTCTGCAGCCGAGGCGCACGCAAGCAAATAAGCAGTCATGGCCACACAGATATAGGCCAAGACTGAAGTGTTTGGGAGAGTGTTTGGGAGGGTCTGACGGCGCCCAATGTTCGTGCCCGGAAACGGGAGACGGGAGCCTTACGATGGTTGCTGCAGTCTGTGGCTGAGCTGGCGAGATCCTCAACCACGGGCAAGCCGTGCGAAGTAGGTGTCCTGCAAGCAAGGCACCAAATGCATGAATGAGCATGGGATTGCGAGCGAGCCCAAGGGCGTGACCCGAGGAGGGGTTAGGGCATGGGGCGGAGGTGGCCAAGCAAGTCAGGACATTCAGGACCAGCACGCTTCAAATGACCTGTGCGCAACGCACCATTTGAACAGATGAAGGCGGTTTCCAGTTGAGCCAGCATCAATCACGGCGGCATGAAGTGGCGCTGTTGGGTAGACGGCGAGCGGGAGCGAGGCGACAATCAGGGCACCCAGGAGGCACCGGGCCTGGCTGCCACCCGTGGAGCGTTTGGCGTGGATCATGTTGCGACAATGGGCGTGAATGAACCCACGGGGGACACGCGCTTGGTCCTGCTAGCCTCCACGCCTTCACTTAACGACCACACCACCCCGCTTTATGGCCCGCACTTGCACCCCTCGTGCAACTATCCAACAAGCAACCGAGAAATCAGCGCGCTGCCGCTCCTGATCGGGCCTTGATGCCAGCAGTTCGAGAGGTTCTCAAATCAAGGCAGACAGTTTGAGAGAGAGAGTTTGAGAGAGAGAGTTTGAGAGAGAGAGTTTGAGAGAGAGAGTTTGAGAGAGAGAGTTTGAGAGAGAGAGTTTGAGAGAGAGAGTTTTAGAGAGAGTTTTAGGGCGAGTTTGTTTGAGAGAGTGTTTGAGAGAGAGAGGGTAGAGAGAGAGTGTGTGTGTGTGTTTTATGGGAGAGGAGCAGGGCAAAGGAGCTGGAGTGGGATGCAAAGAAGCTGGTTCTGGTTAGCCTTCAAAGTTAAAGACTGGGCTCTTTCTTGAGGCTTGAGGTGGGCTCGCGCACCAGGCGTAGAATTCGCAACACGCGATATCAACTGGTCATGGGTGCAAGACTTTTGCACGCGGTACAGGGAAGACGGGCATACAAACGAGTGGGAGGATGATCATGACAAGGAGTACAAAAACTCGTAGAAAGTAGATAACAAAAGCAGGCGACAAGCAATCGAAAGAACGGTCGTGCCGGGGGATGGCGACACAATTTAGAGCTTCTCAATGACGTCGTCCAAGGCCTATGGGGGATGGTCCGGTGGGTGAGAGATACAATAATTCATCCAAGGTACCTGGCTAAAACTTGGAAATGCACCTTGCGCCAGGCATCACGCTCTTCAGCAGACTCAGCGTAGAGCTTCCAGGTGCGAAGTGGGGTGGCAATGGCAAAACCGTTGGCCTTGCTGTCGTCCTCCGAGGTTGTCGAACGCTCAAGCAGCACGACGCCTTGGGGTGCAGCATCCTATGTAGGAGTGAATGTGATGCGACCACAAAACATGAGTTGCACCCTGGCTCGACTGCACATTCATGTTGGCTATCGATTATTTCGGACCAACCGTCTCAGCCTTGTAGTAGTAGAGAAGGCCCGAGGTTGAGAGCACGAAGAAGCGACGCTTCCAGTTGAGCACGACCTTGCCTGCGAAAACCAGAGTGGAGACACCACGCAGGTCAGGTGGGCAGGCAAGTTATCGAAACAGCGCCATGGTCTTTGAAGAAGCTCATGGTCGCGCGCACGAGTCAACACACCCTGCTTGGTCAGGTAACCAGTCTTGACGGCGCCTTCGGCGGCTTCGGCAGCAGGCTAAATGGGTGATGAAGAAGTCGGGGGGGGGGGGGGGGGGGGGGATAAGAAAATGAGCGCAGCAAGTGCCTCCGATCAAACAAGACAGGATCAAGGGCACCATCATCTCCTTCTCTGTCAATGGACTCACCATATCCTTGAGGGCGTCCAGCAGGGACTGGTCGACACCACCTTCAAAAGCGGCAGCGGCAGCGGCATCATCCAAAAGCTCGACACCATCGGCTGCAACGGCGGGCACAGCCAAGCGATGTCAGCATGGCAGCGCAGGAACGGACGCGACAAGTCAAGAATGTGTCACGTGAGAGATGCATGGTTAGAACATGACTCTTCAAAACGCGCAAATGCTGGATCGGGGACTCACCACTAGCCTGCTGCTCCATAAATTCGGTCACACTAAAGTTGACAGTGCCACCATGCTCCACGAGCAAGCTGGCAAAGAGTAGATCGGGCACAAGAAGACAGGACACATCAATCAAAGCGAGGATCCCGGCTGTGCTCCAACAGCAAGAGATGAAGCGCCAGCTCTCAAAAGGAGCAGCCCAATCTCAAACTACGTTTCAAAAGCGCACCTGTCGGGGGAGACAAACGCCTGCATGGTCTGCATGTCCTGGCCGAGAAGGTGAACCTTCTTGAGGAGTTGCTCGGAGAAGAAGTTACGGACGGTGGCCCACACCAGGCGGAAAAAGGCCGGGGTGTTGACAACCAGCAGGAGGCTGATGCGCTCGGGGTAGTTCTCTTGGAGGGTGGAGAGCAGAAGACGTGGCACACGGAAATCGGCCGACTTTGGCGACATGCCCTCGAGGTCAACCACAAAGACGACCGACTCGACACCATCGCCCATGCGCCTATCAAAGAGCGGTTGTTGTTGTTGTGAGCGCGCATGGGCATGGGCATAAGCGTACCAGCGCAAACGTCAATCCAGGCGACTACCATCTAGACCTTGCGGGGCAAGAGAACTGACTTGATGGCAGTTTCCATGGTGTAGACAGCCAGCTTCATGACGTCCAGGGGCGACGATTCGCTAGGTTTATGCTTGCCGGGCTGCATCACAATGATGGGACGGCCCGTCTTGTCGGGGTTGGGCAGCAGACGCATCTTGCCCGTCTACCGATGCCGAACGAATCATGAGACAATCATACCGAATGCTGGAAGTCCCGACCCAACAGCAAGACATCGGTGTGGGCGTACCTTGACTTCACGTGAAACGTTATTAATGGTCATGGCATCCACGTTGAAGCGCTTGCGCCAGGCCTAAGCGTCCCAAACGGTCGTTGTGCAGAAGGTGCGTCAGATGCACGAGGGTATGGGCGGATGAGGGTGATTGACACGGCAAAGGGAAGGCGTGGGATGAAGGGGTCACGGTGAAGGGGGCAAGGCATACCACGTGCTCCTTGAGGAAGGTGGCGGCCTTTTCGACATCCCATTCGTTGCCACGAAGGAAGCGGAGGTAATCGGCGTCAGTGGCGGTAACTTCATCACCCGCACTGGATTTAAGCGACTCCAAGGCCTATTTGCGACATTTGGTGCATGAGAAGCAGCGATGAGAGCGGGCCATGTTGGAGGTGATGCGCTTATGGCCTACCTTGGCCTGCTCGTCGGTCAGGTTGTCCACGGTGCCTTCCACGACCTCGGCTTCAACGGGAACGGCATTGAGGGCGTGCAACCAAGACTCGGCCTCAGCGGGCGAGCTGGCGGCAAACACCTGGACCGAGCTGTCAAAAAGTATAGTCCCACGGATAGAATGAGGGTAAGCAAAGTGTGTGTGTGTGTGTGTGTGTGTGTGTGTGTGTGTGTGTGTGTGTGTGTGTGTGTGTGTGTGTGTGTGTGTGTGTGTGTGTGTGTGTGGTCTCTGGCCCACCGAATGCAGACGCATCTGCACGGCGCGTTTGTGGCAAGTGTGTGGTTGAGTTTGAAAATGTTGCAGAGGCGCATACCGTGGCTTTTGAATGACCACCTCGATGCAGTTTTCGCGACCGTGCTTGGCGGCCGAGGCCAGGGAGGCTTGGCAGCCAGCGATCCACAGGTTGCGGTTCGAATTATTCAGCTACTCGGGGCAAGGCGGCGAGAAGGGTGAAGGGTGAAGGGGTCGCCAGCATGGTGCAACCCTCAGTCATGCAGGTGGGGGTTGCAAGCTTGGGCGTGGTGTCTCAGCAACGTACGCCAATATCTTCAGGCTTGGAAAAGAGCTTGAGCCAGGAGCCATCAATAACGGCATAGTTCTGGGTCCAGCCAAAGAAGCGACCAGGAGAGTACAAGGTACGGTACTTGGCGGTGACGGCCATGCTCTCGGCACGGAGGCTACGAATGCATGATTGGAGGACAGGGTCCGGGATCGTGTCATCAGGGGCGATAATTGGCAACAGCGCATGGGGGCGTGTCATGCTGCGACGTACCGGGCCATGGTTTCTTTGGAGGCGACACGATCTTCCTCCTTCTCGGCCAGCGTGAGCTTTTCGAGGTTGGTGAAGTCTTGATCATCATCGGCGGCCGACATGACGACGGTAATGGGTGGGAGGTAGGAATCGGCGGCAGTGGCTTCCTGTCAAAGCGAAAGAGTACAGCAGAAAAAAAAAAAAAAAAAAAAAAAAAAAAAAACAGAAAAGGGGGTGGGGTGGAAAATCGGTTTATAAGATCGATGAGCTGGAGGACGAGCAAACCAGCGCCAGCAGCAAGGAGAGGTAGTCGAAGCGACCAATCAAGCAGCCAGTGATGAGCTGGCAGGAGGACGAGCCGTGTGGAAATCAAATCAAGGCATGGTCGTCATCGGACATTACACCCAGTGTGATGGATCGTGGTATGGCATCTGCCTTTGACTCCTGTCTGGTCAATCGCCGCGTCGAATTCTTCGGCAGCCCGAGACACAAAGACCAAGGCGAGTACTCAAACACATACATGCACACCACGAGCAGGGACGCACCTCTTAGTCCGACGATGCGATGGAACGACGCGCACGGTCACAACAGAAAAAAAAATACGAAATAAAAACAACAGAAAAATCAGTGAAGGCGAACCACAGTGTGTGTGCGTTGTGTGCGTGCGTGCGTTGTGTGCGTGAAGAGAAAGAGAGAGAGATGAAAGAGAAAGCGAAGAGAGAGAGAGAGAGAGTTAGTTTGAGAGAGAGAGATTTCGAGAGAGAGAGAGAGAGAGAGATTTCGAGAGAGAGAGAGAGAGAGAGAGAGAGAGAGAGAGAGAGAGAGAGAGAGAGAGAGAGAGAGAGAGAGAGAGAGAGAGAGAGAGAGAGAGATGAATTGATTTGGTCGGTTTGAGAAAGAGAAATAAAGAGCAAAGACACAAAACACAACTACATGTACCACGAGAGAGCGAGAGAGCGAGAGAGAGTGAGCGAGTGAGCGAGAATTTAAATTGGTGTAGGGGACTACAGAAGGAATCGGGGCAAGTGTATCATCATACGAAATGTGCGGTTTGTGAGCGGGGTACCTCTGTACGTGTTTTACATGTGGCGGGTGTGGTGAGGTGGCTCACTATGTGAATTGGTTCGCACGGTGTCGAGTGACTCTGATTCGCTTTCCAATCGCCGTTGTAAACTTTGGAACTCAAGCGGAAAGGCACTAACACAGCTCGTCAGTTGGGGTACAGGTCCGTCCGAGTACATCTCGCCTGGCTGATGGCAATGTTGTTCCAACCATCGAGCCAGCACCATTGCACCGGAGCTGGCAGCGGCACTTTTCAGCAAGTCATAGCAGCGCAAGTCCAGCTCATGCTCGCTCCTGGCACAACGCCGGTTCAGTCTCCTCAAAGACTCACCAGTCTCTTGGATGTGAAAACGCTGAACGACGCCCTCCCTCTGGTAAATGAAATATGACAAAATACAGGGGTATTTCATCGGAGGAGAGGTGGGTGGAAGTGCACTGGAGATCAAATGGCAGCCCGCCACAATATGGCAGCGGCTTGTCACGGCCGCTGCCAGATGCATCTGCACCATGCAAATTAGTGTCGGGTGGGGGGGAATCACAGTAGCAAAGGATCTCGGCAGGGAGGGGCTGACTTCGTGGACCCTTGCGCTGTGCCGCCGTTGACTGCCAGTGTGCGCGTCCGCAGGTCACTCACACCAGTGTGTGCATCGCGCTTCCAACTTTTTAGTCTGTCGGGCCTGCCGAGCGACATGGGTGTATCCACGATTGCATTGGCCGCGGGCGTTGCCCCTCTGCTGCTCGCGACGCTTGTGCGGTTGGGTGGCAATATTGGCACACCCATTGTGGCCGATGATCCTTCCCGTCCCCACATCTTCCTGATCCCCTACGTGGGTCTGGCCTTCTTCCCTCTGGCCTTTGCTCTCTTCCGTGAGCTCAAGAGCTGTTCCTGCGCGGGTCCTCTCAACGCCGTCAAGAATGGCCTTTGCAACGTCGCCTTTGGTGCCTTTCTCCTTCACTGCTTCTTGACCTTCTTCTACGGTACGAGCCTCGCTCGGGGAATATTTTATGAAAGCCATTGGAAAGAAAAAAAAAGGGGTGGGAGGAGAACTCCCTCGGAAGAGGCTGGAGGACGCAAGGCTTTGCCGATCCCTGTGGTAGCATCAGCATGCACTCACTCGCTCCAATTGTCCGTTTGGTGTGGTCTGATCATACTGGACAGGCAACATCAACAACGATGCCTGGTCCAACAGCATCATGATCGACGTGATTGCCCCGCCCGAGTTCTTTGTGAACATGACCATGGTGCCCGAGGAAATGCGCCTCACTTCCGATGTCAAGCTTTGGGCGCGCAAGGAGATTCTCGATGGCCCTCACCTCGACATTGATGCCATTGCTGCCTCCAAGTGTCAGCGCCGTGCCTATGCCCGCTTCATGTTTCATGAAATTCTGCCCCAGTCGCGCATCGCCCGCCTTCTCAAGCAGGGCGTCATGTTTGGCGGCGTTTGGGCCCAGCACACCAGCTCTTTTGCGGAACGGTATGGCATCATTGCATTCCGACATGACTGCCGTGATTCAATGCCTGAGGCCCAACTCGACCCGCGCATGCCTCTTGGTTGGGGTCCAGCCGCTCATCTTTGTCGTTCTGTTTGCCCTGCTGCCACCTTCTCCAGCGCCAACGTGTCCAAGGTCTACACTGACCACGCTTATGGCAATGATGTCGCCTTCAACAAGTACATTATCCGTCCCCTCTGGGTCGATCGCTTCAACATCTATGGCGACTTTGACCATAAGGAGTACGTGTGTGTGTGTGTGTGTGTGTGTGTTGCTTCCCGATCTTCTCGCCGCTTGCATGCAACAAGCGTTGACATGCTCAAGCTGCCGCTCGTACTTGAAGGCCCATCACTCACGTTTGTTTCACATGTTCTGGGCTGATTCGCTCCGTAGTCTGCAGGAGAAGCACTGGACCGTCTCCTCCCCGGCTCCCTTGCACGAGGGCCAACACATTGCATACGATGCAAAGGCTTCGGGCCAAACTTGGAATGATGCCCGCTTCATCATGGACCAGTACAGCTGCATGGCCGAGGGCATGTGGCTCGAGAGGTAAATGCGAGTTCGCGTTTGAGTTTGGGCCGCCGCCCCCACCCACTCACTTACCACCGGATTGCTCCCTCTTGCTAGCTTTATTGGCCGTCGCTTCTGCTTCCGCAAGATTATGGATGCAACCGAGACATACAGCATGGAGGGCACGCTGCACCATCCCTATCTGGCCGACAAAGACGTGACCTACCCCTCAGGCTCGATCGATGACTGCGACAAGCCCTATGTGCGGGCCGTCCTCACAAAGGGCCTCCACTGGACCCGTGACACCTACCTCTGCTAAGCCCCTGCTATCCCCTGCAGGGCCAGAGCGGGCTCATCGCTGCTTTGTGTTTGTCTAGTGCTGTTGCGTTTCTCTTCTTGTCTTGGACTGGCTCGACGATGTGCGGGTTTTGATAAGCAATCGATGCTGAAAGTATCACAGGCTCTCTTCATGCGCCGCACTTTGTTGTTGTTGTTGTTGTTGTTGTTGTCAATGTCACAGCATGCAGTCCAGACGATGCCATTTGAACTGATGAGGCGTTGATCTGGTTAACATGACATTTTCTATATTGATTTTTTTTTTGTTTTTTTGCGCGTTTTACGCGGAAACAGATCGTCGTTGCCCCATTCAATAGGAGCAAAGCATCAGAGAGGGCCGACGAGACAACCGGGTAACAAGAGTGACAAGTTTACATGTTGAAGGCAAAGGCCACGGCCTGGGCGGCAAAGGCCACGGCCAGAGGCAGCGAGACAGGAGGGAAGGCAATAAAGGCCACGGCAGTAGCCGCGCTGGCGGCAGCAGCGTAGGGAGCGACCTTGGCGCGGTTGATGTCCTCGCGGAGCTGGAGACCCAAGTAGCCGGCACCAAGGAAGATGAAGCCAATTGTGAGGAAAAGACTCTTCTTGAGCTCAATGGCGGTGATGGAGCTGGCAAACAGATTGTGGGCGACGACGGCGGGGAAAATGGTGAAGAAGATGGAGCGCGCAGAGAGGGCGACGCTGAGGAGCTTGACAACCAGGTCGGATGGCACAATCTTGTTGGAAGCCAGGACCAGAGGCACCAGGGTACCGGCAGCAAAGACAATGGGCAGCGCTGGCACGGGCGCGTTCATCACAAACTTTTGCACCAGCTAGCGCACATCGAGGGTCGAGGGGGAGAGAAGAACAAAGAAAGAGAGAAGAAGAAAAGAAGCAGAAAGAGAAGAAGAAAGGGAAGGTGAGTGGGGGTGGAGACGTGCTAAGCGCGTGTACTCCCGATGCCACACCACAAGAGAACAGAAATGCAATGACGGGCGGGAGTTGGCACGTGGTGACAAACCTGGCCAGCAAGGACAAGGCTGTGGGTGAAGACAAGGGCATTGATGGCAGACTTGCGGGTGGAGGGCGTGGCCATGGCAGCTCCGAGCGAGGTCACGGAGAGAGCGAGGGTCGCCTTGCCGATTGTGGCCACCATGTTCTCGCCAAAGAGCATCTACGTGGCAGTTTTCAAGGTGAGTTTGCAGTGCGCGCAAGCTGGAGCAAAGCAACAAGCCAGGGAACGTACGGTGCTGAAAAAGTGGTTCTCAATAAAGGCGGGGGCGGCGATGGCGCCGATGCCGATGCCAAAGTTCAAGATGGTGGAGAAGTCCCAAGCCGACATGATGCTGCGAACACCGAAGGTCGTGATAAGAACAGTGTTGTGAGTTGATTTAGGTTGGATCAGGCTGCAAGCGGCCAAGCAAACGACTGCGTGCCACGAGCTGTCCAGCCCGTTTGACTGCCAGACAGGCCCTGGAGTCCAATCAACCATCTGGAGCTCTTATTTTTTCTTTTTTTCTCTTGTTCACATGCAGAACCGGAGGTCAGGGCAGCGCGCTCACCTGGTGTTGTTTGGTAATGAGCCAAAAGACAGGAAGAGGTCTGCAAATGGATCTTGCTACAAATCAGGCGGGGTCCAGCAAGGGCAAAGGCTCGTGAGGCATGTCGTTATTTGATCGCGGTCCCCGACAACAGGACGCCAAAAACACTTTTGCAAAGCCAGTGGCGTGTTCTGACGCGAGTCCCTCGCCAAACGAGCTTGATCCCGGACACAAGCATCGACTCCTTCATGTATCAAGAGGTACCCAAATCCCCAGCCACGGCCAGTGCCTCTTGCACCTCGCCACGATCGCGCTGCCGTTTGCACGCCTTCAGCCCCCCCAACACCCCCTGACAGCTGCAATCCTTACCTTAAGCCCTTGACAAGCGAAAAAAATACGAGAGTTCAAGAGCCAGTGGCTTGAGGGCACAACCACAACAACCACACGACGCAACCCTAACACGGCACACTGCTAAAGAAAACTGCATCATCTGGTATATTCAATGCACAAAGTCAAATAAATAACATTAACAAATCATCAAAAGGTCGATATATCGCTGAACTTATTATTCAAACATGGTCAATGATTGCGATTGTCAGATCAATTTTTGCTCAAAAGTGTAACAAAAGCCACACATGAAGAGGCAAAGTGCCAGATTGGCATTGCATCAAGGTGGATGTTAACATAAGAGGGGTGTCCCCTTCAATTTCAAGATCATCGATCAGTGCTGCAATGATGGAGCAGGTGCTCGGATCCATCTTTGGCAGCGCCCCGTGGAACGGCGAAGCAGGCCTCGGTGCCTTGCTGCGTGCCGTTCTCTATGTGGTGTGCGAGTGGACGGGTGCTGCGCTTGTCAATGTGGTCTGCGCCGGGGGTGTCCTGCTTGTCATCTACCTCGTTTTCCATGCAGTGTGGCGCTCCCAGATCCGCAAGACCTACTACGCCCGCACCCTGCGGCAGGATGTGATTCCCGACGCCCCGCGCAAGGTCAGCAAGCGCTGCGCTGTCATTGGTGCTGGTCCAGCTGGTATTGTGACTGCCAAGGAGCTTCTTGAGGCCGGCCATGATGTCACCATCTTCGAGAAGAACGATACCTTTGGTGGTGTCTTTCTTTACCGTGATTACAAGGTGTGTGTGTGTGTGTGTGTGTGTGTGTGTGTGGTGTGTGCGCTTGTGTGTGGTCCCTTGTTGTGCAAGACGCAGCTCAAGGCCCCTGCTCCTCAATGCCAACCAAGCCCCCTTCAATACATGCGCATTGCCGTCCATGTTTGCATGACTGACCCGTCCTACCTGGGCCCTTGCCATGTGTTTTAGGGCGGCGTTTACGACGGCTGCGTGCTCACCATCGGCAACTACGTGATGACCTTCTCCGACTTTTTCGAGCCGGGTGACAAGTACCGTTTCTGGACTGCCCAGGAATACTGGGAGTATTTGGCCCGCTACATTGAGCACTTTGGCGTTGAACGCCGCAGTACCGTGTACTACAACCACGAAGTCCTCACCGTGGCTCGCGCCAGCCAAGACACCTGGAGCGTCACCGCCAAGTCTGCCAAGGGCAAGGTCCACAGCGCCGTCTTTGATCACGTCGCCATTTGCAACGGTGCCCACCAGGTCCCGAACCAGCCCAGGATCAAGGGTGCCGAATCTTCGCCCATCACCATCTGCCACTCTGATTCCTACAAGCGCGCTGCTGGCGACGCACGTTTTGAGGGCAAGCGCGTTGTTTGCATGGGCATTGGCGAAACGGGTGCTGATGTCGCTGCTCATGTGGCTCAGGTCGCCAGCGATGCCTACCTCTCCATGCGTCGCACCCCCCACGTCGTGCCCCGTAACCTCTGGAACCTTGGCTTTCCTGGCGATGCCTCCTCCACCCGCGCCATGTTCTATTGCCATCACATGTGGATCTCGGCCCTTCACAGCTTTGACCAGTGGATCCGTCTAGTGACCAGCGGACCCAAATGCCAGGCTTTTTTCAAGGGTGACATGGGCATGGGCTGTCCCGTTCATGCCAAGGCTGCTGAGCTGGCAGAGCGCTCCGGTGGCCTCGTCGTCGAGCAGTTTCTCACCAAGAACGACAACTTTATCCCCCATCTGTTGGACGGCAGCCTCAAGGAGAAGCCTGACATCGATCACATCGAGGGCCGTCGCGTCTATTTCACCGACGGCTCCTTTGTGGACGACGTGGACACCATCATTCAGTGCACCGGCTTTGTCGACTCCTTCCCCTTCCTGCAAGATGTGGACATGCCAGATGTTCGCCACTTGTACAAGCACATGATTCATCCCGATATCGGCCCCAGGTACAGACCCGGCGCGCGTGATGGGGGAAAGGGAAGACCATGGGTGGAGCCAGGAAGCGGCCGTGTCCCCTTATGCTCCGTGTGCATCCTGTGTCCACTGGCCTACCGTAAACTGACCTTGTCTTGTGCTTGGTATTCTCCTCTCCCACAGTTTGGCTTGGATTGGCTTTGTGCGTCCCGGTACGGGTGGCGTCCCCGCTTGCGCTGAACTCTGCGCCCGCTATTTCGCTCTCCTGGCCTCGGGTGAACGCAAATTGCCCGACGACTGGCGCCAACGCATTGCGCGCGAGGCCAACATGGAGGAAGATCTCATCAACATTTCCAGCGGCCGTGTCAAGACCCTCGTGCTCTATGGTGATTTCATGGAAGCCATGGCCCAGCACGTGGACTGCCAGCCCATGATCATGCGTTACCTCTTCACCGATCCCGTCTTCTGGCTCAAGCTGCTTTATGGTGCCATGTCCCCCATCCAATTTCGCCTGCGAGGGCCAAATGCTCGCCCTGAATTCGCCAAGGCCTGTTTGAAAGCCATGCCTGCCCCCACGCCAATCCCCTTTCGCGTCTTCCAATCCATGTTTGCCGTGGCTGGCTGGATCACCGGTACGCTCTTTGGTTTCCGACCTCCGAGCTGGTAAAAAAAAATCCCGTGTGTTTCTTCTCCAAAAAGGACTACCATCTGCTTCATGATGTCGTTCTTCCTTTGCTTGTTTCAACTCTTTGGGGCACCTTTCCAACCGGCCGTGCCCGCGCTCTCCTTCTTTCTATCGAGTGCTTTCCCAGGGCTCTCCGATTTTGATTTGATTTTCTGTAAATTGACAAGTCTTTGAAACTTTTTTGCACATATCCTGCGCTGATTGGTCGATCATTTCTCTTTTACTCCTGGGATGCGAGGCACATACAAAAACAAGTTTTGGTTAAGCCTTGCTTGGGAACAACAGCGTGCGTCCTACCCATTTGTGTGTTGTGCGACTCATGTACAGTCAGCAAAGTACCCGTCATTCAAATTGAAGAGGGTGCAATCGCCACTTCCCTCGCTGCCATAAAAAAAAAAAAAAAACAACAGAAAAGGAAATCCCAACAAACTCTCTATTTTTGAAAATAACATGTCTCCTATTTTGCATTTTGCATTTTTACAAGTTGCCGCCATCATGACCGATGCGGCGGCGGCGGCGGCGGCGGCGGGGGGTTCTGCCTCGCCCAACCTGGGCGATGGGATGGGGAATGGGTCCCAACATACAAGCGCGGCGGCAGCGGCGGCAGCAGCGGCGACGGTGCAGCCAGGGGATCTTTTCCTCAACCCGACTTCCCCAGTGCTCTCTCGATTCAACATTTATGCCACCAATGCCAAAATTTACATCGTTGGCTCTGATGAGGTTGGTTCCGAAATTGACCAGGCGCATCCAGCATCCAGCTCGCTCCACAAGGGCATCGCACATGGAATTGATGTTGCGTTTCGCTTGCACTTTTGCAGCAACAGACGCAGTTCCGCATTGTGCGCGTGGATCGCTCATCTCTCGACCTCCATGCGACGGAGGACGAGCGCACCTACGACCAGCAAGAGCTTGATGTACGCCGCTCGCACCCGTCGCGGTTGCGCCGTAGGCAGACCAAGGTTGCGCTGCACTGGCTTTTCATGCTGCCCTGTCTCGTCCTTTTCAACGTCGGACCGGCTTCAGGGCATTCTTAACACGCTAGATGCGATGACCCAAAATAAGATGCTCAAGAAGCGTTGGTCTGGCTACGGCATCATCGGTGTGGTTCGGTGAGGACCCCTAGCGCTCGTGGCTCGTAGCTCAGGTCTGACTCAAAACTCACAAATGATATTTGTGCTTTTCCAAAGCTTTCTCAAGGGCTACTACTTGATTGTTGTGACCAAGCGCAAACAGGTCGCCAGCATTGGCGCTCATGCCATCTATCGAGTCGAGGACACGGTGAGGCAAACAAACCCTATTTTTTTTTTTTTTTTTTTTTTTTTTCTTTTGACTCGTCAATGTCATGCCCATAATCCCCACGACCTCATTCCCTTTTGCTTTTGGTTTTTTTTTTTCAAAAAATTATTGGTCACCCACGGGCTAGATTATGATTTCACTCTTTAGCAAATCTGTGGCTGGCCCCGACCTGCCAGAGGAAGAGCGTTACCGTCGAATCTTTCATGTATGTGCTGCGGTGGACCAGTCATACCTGTATCATGATTACAATTTGTTTGCAAATTTGCGGCCGGGACCAATGCTCAAATGGCTGAAAACTGCTTTTCTTGGGCTTGATGCGTTCCCTGCAGAATGTGGATTTGACCAGCAACTTTTACTTTAGTCACACATACGACCTGACTCGCCCCGTTCAGAGCAACATGTACCTGCCGTCCGATCTCGAGCGTAGGTTCCAACTTGAGACAATGTCACGGTCTCCCGGAAATCTCATGATGTCCTCTCTTCCCTTCCACGGACAGGCCAACGACTAGCTGAGCCCAAGCCACCGGTTCTGAAGCCGGATGAGACATTCTTGTGGAACCACTTCTTGCTCCATCCTTTCCACGATACAGTGCGAATCCTCATAGCGTTGTCTCGGCTTTGGCATTTTGCGTTCAAGGTTGACCCCGCTCACTCTACCCGGTTCCTATTCCCTCATCCCAGCTCCGCCCCGAGTGGCTTATTTCTTTGACACACGGATTTGTGTCCCAAAGTGACATCAACATCTACGGTCGGCACATCTACGTGACACTGATTGCCCGGCGTAGCCGTCATTACGCCGGCACTCGCTTCCTCAAGCGCGGTAAGTGATTCTTCTCGCTCCGGTCACATGGCCTTCCCGTGTGTCACAAGCCCACATTCGTCATGGTCTGCGCTCATTGCTCGTGGCGATACCAGGTTGTGACAATGCGGGCCACTGCGCCAACCACGTGGAGAGCGAACAGATTGTGCATGATGCCAGCGAGATCTCCCATCGCCGTGCCTTCATCACCAGCTACATTCAGATGCGCGGGTCCGTTCCCGTTCATTGGGAGCAAGATCATGCGGGCATGAAGGCCAAACCACCTATTTCCATCGCGCGCGCCGACCCCTTTGCGTCAGCCGCTGCCATGCACTTTGAAAGGGTACGTCTTGGTACCCTGCCCGCTGCTCCGTGCCTAATTCTCTGATTCATCGGCGACGGGGACCTTGCGTTGTGGCCTCAAATATCTCTTCTGACCTGCGTCGCCCACGTGTGTCATTTATTTGCAACCTGGTTTAAGCTGTTCCACAAGTTTGGTGCACCAATCATCGCATTTGACCTGGTCAAAAAGAAGGAGAGGCGTCCGCGCGAGTCCATCTTACTCAATGCCTATACGTAAGACTTCCTCTTTTTAGTCTATTTTGTTTTTCTCGATGCGAAGTCAAGAGAAAGTAGTGTTGGCCAGTGCGTCATGGTCTTATCAGCTTATTCGCCACTCTTGCGCGATGTGGTGCGATTCAATGCAGGGCTGCCTTGGGGTACTTGAACAAATTCTTGCCCAAGGAAAGTGCCATCCAGCACGTCTCGTGGGACATGGCCAAATCCAACAAAAGTCGCGAGCCTGTGGTCTTGCGCATCTTGGATCAGTATGCTCAGCATTTTTTGAAGGTATGAAAAAGCGGCCTTCGCTTGACGTTTAGATTTGTTTGCGAGCTCTGAATCTCCCAACCCCTCTCATCTCGCGTGAGTTTCATCTTGCTCCCTTAGCAACAAGGCATCTTCACATCCCGACAACGGCTTTCCCTGGTGGCGGAAGCCGATGCTGGCCTTGATTCAGGCGTTGGCGACAACGCAAGCCGTCAATCTTCCCACTCGCACGCTGGTACCAACCAGGTGAGTTTTTATAAGTTTTTATTTCAACTTTTTTTTATTTCTTTTCATTTCAGATTTCCAGCTGCGCGCGCGCGCGCGCGCGCGCGCGTGTGTGTGTGTGTGTGTGTGTGTGTGGACGACTGCGTATGTTTCGATTTCAGCTCCTTATACCCTGCATGCATTGCATTTCTCTTTCTGCCTCAAAAGCACGGCGTGGTTCGCGTCAATTGTGTCGATTGCCTGGACCGCACCAACACCGCCCAATTCATGATTGGGCTCTGTGCGCTTCGTCATCAGGTACGCCTCAACGCTCTAAACATTTTTCATGCAACTGAGTGTGACTCTGCCTTCGGCTGTGGCCATGCTCATTTTGCCCATCTAACTTGATTGCTGATGGGATCAGCTCTTTGAGCTGGGTGTAATTGCCGACACGCAGGCTTCGCAGATACCTCCTGATTCCCCCGTCAATCGAGTGCTTGAGGAGGTAGCTTCATTTTTCACGCCCCTTGAGTGCATTGCTCGCGCAACAGGGTCACCTCGTGCGCATGACTTATTATTTCGCCCCTGGGTTGCGTCAGATGTACGAGGATCATGGCGATACCATTGCACTTCAGTACGGTGGTTCTCAGCTGGTCAATCGCATTCAGAGCTATCGCAAGACACGGCCCTGGACCAGCAACTCGCGTGACATCCTGAACACCGTGGCACGCTACTACAGCAATTCATTCACGGATGCTGACAAGCAGGTGAGGACAAGAAAAATTCAAGATAAGCCCTGTTGCTCCTCCTGATTGCAACCCAGCCCATTTTCACGCGCCCACTCTACCTCACCTGATTTCGTTGAAAGAGGCATACTTCTGAATTTCAGTCCTTGTCCTTGTTTGATCCGATGTTCTCTGGCCTCATTGAAATTTTCCAAACTGCGTAGATGGCCATTAACCTTTTCCTGGGCAAGTACGTGCCACTGAAAGAGGACGAGCCCCTGTGGCTCCAGTACAGCGACTACTTTTTGCACTACCCACATGCCCGCACCTTGCATGAAATTCCCCGTCCGCACTACATCTATTGGCATGCCCCGATTGCTGTGCCGTCACTGCGCCGATTTCGGCATGGTGAAACGTTTTTGACGGACCATGGCGAGCAGGATGATTCAAGCGTCATCCGCTTCTTCCGTCAGCGTCTGCAATCGGAGAGCAGCGACGTCGACGACGATCCCCTACGCGTTTTTCGCAGCCTTTCGTCTTCGCCAGCTACAGAGCTACGCGGGCCTCTCGCCAAAGCCAGCACCGGTGGCAGTGGCATGACGCCAGAGGACATTTTATTGGCGCGTCGCCAACGGCATCGTCAAAAGCTTGCCGATCTCTTTGAGGACGACGATGACGATATGGTGGTGCCATTGGCGCCCGAGGATACCGAGGTACAGGACGCGCTCAGGGAGCTGCGTCAAACCTACCGGGACATTCGCCACCGTGTGGTGACGGCTCGCTTTCCACAAGGTGCGTTGATTGCTGTGTGTTTGTTGGCTGGCTTGTCTTCGAGGGCCTGCGCTGTGTCCTGACTTGAAATCATTCCCCTCCCTCCCCCTGCTACCATTCCGCCTCAGCCTTGGACGCGGCAGCCAAACTCAAGGCCGGCTTTGATGAGGAGGTGACGGGGTTGTTGCAGAGCTGGAACGTCAGTCTCTCCGGGCAGAATCAAGTGCGAGCTGCGAAGTGGGTGGCTGCTCAACATGGCGTCTTGCTGAGCAACGAGCTCGGGCCGTTTTGCCGACCAGCCCCGGACTACCTCTCGGCCACGCTGCGCCTGTACTTTTACTCTGACGTACCGATTGAACTGGACACGCTGTTTGAGATGTGCATGCCGTCCACCTTGAATCACGGCATTGGTCCCTTGACGAGTTGCTCCACATTGACCTCTTGGAAAAGTCTGGCCGCCAACCCCCATCAAGCCCGAGTGGCCGGGCAGGCACCCATCCCGGATGATGGCCTTGACTCGGACTCGGACGACTCTGATGAGGAGGAGTTTGCCGCATGGTCCAATGTCAAAGCCACCAACAACGAGGCCACAACCAAGGACGCGAGTCAGGGAGAACATCGCCGTCGCCATCCAACCATGTTCATGTTTCCGCCCTTGGGTCAGGCTGATCAAAACGTCTTTCATCGCTACGTCAGTCGAGAGGCCCTGATCCAGTCGATGAAGCGACAAGCATCGCCCTCATCGACTCTGGTAACGTGGACAGCCACGAACAACGCTTCAGGTCCCATCACCTCGCGTTCCCGGGCGCATTCGCAGGCTTTGCGTGATGAACGAGCCAACTCACAGCGCCGCAACTCCGTTTCAGGCCAGGCACGTGGCTTGAAGGGCTTTCGTCCTCGTGCGCGTGTCGTGCGCCGCCAGGAGAGCGTGCCCACAGCAAGTGCACCCGTGACAGTGGCACCAACGCCCACGGTGCACCTCAAGTCATCCACACGTGCCGAAGTGCAAGCGCCCCTCATGCCCCAGGTTATGCCAGCAGATGAAATTCGACCCAGCAGCCGTATGCTCTATGAAGAGGTCACCAGCATGTCCACGCAGTGTCGTGACTTTTGGCGACCCGCCGATAAGATGACTTATGAGAACTACTGCGCGCGGCCGGCGTTTTAAAGCCTTGTCGGCAACGCTCCATAATCGAATCACCTTTGATTATTTTTATCTTTTGTTTGTTTTGATTATTATTCTTACTCATGCATGATGTTAAGCTCTTGCTCACAAGAAAGAAGCGATAGCGTGGCGCTTCTCTGATTTTGCGTGGGGATTTCTCATGAGAATCTGGGTCGCATCATGTTTTGAGGGCCATCAACGCGTGACGTGACTTCTTGTAAGGTTCCAGTCCGACAACCGCCAAACGTCAATGATTTTCCGACTGAACCCCACGCAGGTTATTGTTCACCCACAGCGAGATATGGTGGAAGATTGCGACAACCAAAGGGCGACTGTTAGAAAATGCAACTGGAGAAGACGTCGATTTCTGTTGACCTTTTGTTGAAAGCAAAAATGGAGCCATTAACCTATCAAAAGAAGAATCGGATAAAAATAGCTTTTTCAAGTTCGGCGATGTGACATTGTGGTGGTTTGGTGGAGGGCAAAAGTGCATTTTTCTTTCGCCCGGACTTGAAACCGCCAGTGAAAACGAGAATGTCCGCCATGTCGATCAGCCCAACGCCGGATGGCCCCCCCATTGGTTATCTTTCGGACTTTGAGGACCGTATGACCTTGCCAAGAATCACTCTTGCCGATCAATTGCTCAAGGCAAAGCATGTGGAGTCAAGCGTGCTCACAGAACTTTTGGATGAGCTTGTATCTCAAGCCAGGCAAGCTGCAAAACAGCCAGCTCGAGCTGCAAGACAGTTGCCCAGGTCTTGGCGCGTCAAGGACGATACAACATCTGAGGAGTGCCTCGAACTATGTCAAAACATTCTCGTCCGCGAGACTGCCGAAGAGTTTTGTGCTTTAGGCAACTTGGCCAAGGAACCAGAGTTTGAGATTGAAGCCAATCCTTACAGTGATGATGACATCAAAGAGGGGCTGCTGATTCATCGCGTGTGCCCCAAAGGCAAGACTTTGAGCGACGACGACCTGCAGCAAGAGCTGAGCGACTTTCGAAGCACTCTGTTTATTTGGAAGGGCCGTCTTTGCCTGTCCAAACAGCCGTACGTGAATTGCCCTTGTCGCGAGGCTTCTTCCAGGGGTTCGATGGAATCTGCGTCTGAGGATGAATTGGAGGAACTTGATCGACTCGGAACGAGCCAAGATGAATCCGTGGCTTCAACATCGGCTGAAGACATTTTTGCTGCTGCTGCGAGCCCTGATGCTGCCGGTGGAGTTCCCAAAGCCCCCGGTGATGATCTTGCAGACGCTGTTGAGGCGACAAGCACATTGAAATGCCTGCTTCACCCAAAAGCGACCCTGCAACTGCCGTGTTGCGTGGGCCCCAGCGTGGGCCCCAGCGTCAAAGAAGCCTCCGCCCAAGGAGCCTTTGTCGATCCCAGTGTCATGAACATGCCTCCCTCACGCGTACGCAAGCTGTTTTCACTAGCAACCATGCTCACGACCCTCTCTTTGCTTGATGTGGCACGTGAGTATCTGACAAGACGGGTTGAGGAAGTCGTGGACGAGGAAGTTGCAGCCCTGAAGCACTGGCTCGGTGTATTTTGCCGACCACAACGACGTGAGTTGTGCCCTCAACTGCAACCACAACCCAGCGCCATGGTGGCGGATCCAAGCCAAGATGTCAGCGCACAAGTCGTGGCAGATCTTCGGCATGAGCTAGAAGTGGTGCAAGGTCCACCAGGCACGGGCAAGAGCACCCTCCTTTCTCGCGCGATCAACCGTTGCTCTGAAGCGGCTTTCACACCCTCTACAGTGCGCAGTCCTCAATCCCATGCCACATTGATCATTGCCGTTCAGAACAAAGCTTGCGAGAATGTACTCCGACGTCTTGTTGAAGACGAAACCTTCACGGATGAAGAAGTCCTTGTTCTGGGAACGGAGCGCAATGCCGATCGACTGGGTCCATTGCAGTTCCACTGCTTGATGCAAAGCCATCAAAGTCGAGACTCGTTTGTCAAGTATTTTCTCCACGAGTTTCAGAAACCGCAGAGTCCAGCCAGGCACAAGAAGATGCTCGACTACCTGGAAAAGGCTTTGCGGCAAGTGGAGCAGCGTCTCTATAGGACTGCCAAGATTGTCGTCGCCACGCTGGACTCAGTGCAACCTTTACTGACCAGCAAGCGAATGATGCACCTGCGCAGACGCATCAAGTGTATTTTTTGCGATGAAGCTGGCACCATTCCTGAATGCCGCCTGCCCACCCTCTCTTTCTTCTTGCCAAAGTTTGTTCTCATGGTCGGTGACACGAAACAGCTTCCTCCCTTCACTCGGCTGCGCTCCGACAACGCCCAAGACCCTCTTCCCCCGTTTGCCCGCATGGAGAAGTGTTTGGGACAGGCTGGCGTCCACATGCTGACGCAGCAGTATCGGTCGCATCCAGCGATCAGCGATTTTGTGTCCGAGAACTTTTATGGTGGTTGCTTGCATCCACACGAAAGCGTGTACTCACGCGTGTGCAAACCTGGGCTAGAATACTTTGAGGGCTTGCGCTACGAAGTCACTCATAGCGATGGTGATCACCAGGAACTGACGGTGGAGGAGCTTGGTGAGATCAGCCAACCAAACTGGATGCAACGGCTGTGCAAAGAAGCTTTGGTCGGCGTCGCGCGTACCTCCTATTTGAACCTGAGGGAGGCTCTGGCAGTGAAGGAGCAGTTGACGAGAATTTTGAGTCGCGTCGCCTCAGCGCAAAGACTCGCCTCAGACCCATCTACCTCGGAAGAAGCCCCAGCCGAGCCTTCGGCGACAGTCGACGTGATCACATTTTACAAGGCTCAAGTTCACGTTTTGGAAACGCTCCTGTTTGATGAAATTAAAAGGGGGGCCGAGCTGTACAACATGCGCATCGAGGTCAAGACCGTAGACGCTGCTCAAGGCTCAGAGGCCGATGTGGTCATCTTGTCCCCTGTGCGCTGCCACGCACGAACGGGCTACAAAACCCTTGGTTTCCTCCATGACGAGCGCCGCCTGAACGTGGCATGTTCTCGTGCACGTTACGCACTCATCGTCGTTGGGTGCTTGTCCTATGAACATGGGTGCGTTGACAAGCACCGAATTTTCCGCGAGTTTGTTGGTTTGGCCAAGCGTTCGGATCGTGTCCTACAGCAGAATGCCATGCCTGAGCAGAATGCCATGTCTGAGGACGATTTCTTCATGTGAGCGCTGGGTTTAGTCCTTCCTGGCGGCGTGGGTTTCTTCTGTTCATCGCGTCAGTGCGCGTGAATCGTGGTTCCTGCTCTGTTTGACTGTCAACAACATTAAAAAAAAAAAAATCAATTGAGTGTCACGTAAATATATTTGTCAGAAACCCAGGCAATACAATCAGTCAGGCCAGCGGAACATGACAAAGATAATCAGCGGGCCACCATGATGGATGTCGTGGCTCGGATATCGGCGACGGACAAGCCGACTTCTAGCAGGAATATACCATCTTGGACGGTCCAGGCTCGAGCACCAACGTCCCAGGCACTAAAGGCACGTGCGTTCAAGGGGAATTGAATCTGTGTCCGTGACCCTGGGCTGATCAAGGAGGTGTTATATCCACGAAGCTGGCGCGGCGGCTCGTCCTGGCCCAAGCCCGCAGCGGGATATGTCAAGTACAGTTGCACTACCGCGCGCCCGGTGTCCGGGCCAATGTTGGACACGGTGACGGAGGCGGCGCATTCGAGTTGCTCATTGCACCCAATGCCCAGAGCTTCAAAGCCCCATGACGTATAGGACAGACCATGCCCAAACGGGAAGAGCGGGAGCAAGTGGTGCTGGTTGTACCAGCGATAGCCCACCTGCAAGCGCTCGGTGTAGTTTGATTCATGGTCCAGGCCGGGGAATTGTAGCATCGTCATGTTGGTTTCGTTGAAGCGGTTGGGCATGGTAAATGTGAGATGCCCGCTTGGGCAGCCCTGCGAAATGCAAGTTGCAGACTGCAGTAAGAGGTCAGCGACAGCACCGCCCATTTCCTGTCCTGGGTAGCCCATGTGCACGAGCGCGGTCGTGGCGTTGATCCATGGCGCAACAAAGGCGCCAGGGGCAGCGGCTACAACGATGAGATGGGGCTGGACTTGAGCGATTTGCTCGACCAGCTCTGCCTGGTCAAGATCAAGCGTTGCTCGATCCTGATTCTCGCCAGATAGGGTGGCCAGCACGAGGACGGCAATGTCGGCGGTTTGGGCAAGCGCCCGTGCGTGGTGCACATCTGTGCCATTGGCGTACGAGACGTTGACGCCGGCATGACGCAGGCCGTCAAGCACGGTAACAATGCGCGAGGGTGTGACCGCACCCGAGCCAAATCCGCCAGTAATGGGGCGATCGTGTCCTGCTGTGCCCAGAACCGCCACACGGTGGTTGGAGGTGATGGGTAGCTGGTGATCCTGGTTGCGAAGCAGAGTCGCCGCGCGCAACGCAAGGCGATGCGCCACCTCACGCTGCTGGCCGTTTGTGACATTGGTACTGGCTGTCTGGTCAGGGTCGCGCGTGCGGTTGAACGCACCAGACACGATTAGGGAGCGGATGATGCGAGTAACTTTGGCATCAAGGACAGCTTCTGGCACGCTGCCGTTGCGCACGGCTTCTTCCAGAGGCTCCCCAAAATAATTTGGGCGGATGCTATCGGAAGCACAATTGAGCGGGTTTGTGGCATTGGGATGACTGCATCCTGGCATTTGCTGATCTAGGCCCCCTAGGGCCGAGGCAACGGTGGATTGGGTGCCTTGATAGTCGGAGAGCATCCAACCTTTGAAACCCGCCAACTCACGAAAGAGCATGTTAATGGTGTGATTGTTGGCACAGGCAAAGGCTTGGTTGACGCGGTTGTTGCCACACATGGCAGAGAGAGCCCCTGCTTGAGCAGCACCTTCAAAGGGGGGCAGGTAGATTTCCATTTCCGTGCGCTCATCGACGTTTTCGGAGACGGCATGGCGATCGGTTTCTTGGTTGTTGTTGATAAAGTGCTTTGGGTTGGCGATGATGCCCTGATCCTGAATGCCTTGAACAACAGCACGGGCTAGGGTTTGGCCCAGAAATGGGTCTTCGCCGGAGCAATACTCAAAGTTGCGCCCTGCGCGGGGTCAAGGGGGAGGGGGCGCCGTCAGTTTGTAGGGCAAAATTTGAGACATGTCTGCGAGATCGGGAAAAGACATGGGTTGTCGTGCTGAGCCACGCACCGCCCCAGGGAAGCCGGTGAATGTTCAAGCCAGGGCCAAACTGCACAAAGCAGCCCTTGCCAGCAAATTCGCGGCCCATGGCGGCGCCAAATTCATACATGAGTTCAGTATCAAAAGCCATCCCGACCTGAGGCAGGGTTGAGTCTGTCAGTGAGCACGAGGGCGCGCCGTGGGCTTGGGCGGTTTCGTGCGGGTATTGGTAAAAGCGATCACGGACCGTCATGCCCGAGGGGAATTGGGTGGATGTGCCAGGTGGGCCACGGAAGCCCTGGGGCCCGTCGTTCATGGTGATGCCTGGTACACCGAGGCGCGGCACGCCAAGAGAGAAGCCAACATAGCCGGCTTGAACTGGATCGGCTGCGCTTTGATTTCCGTGCACCATGCCTATCTTTTCTGCCAACGTCATCTGTTGCACCAGGGCCGCAGCGGCCTGCCCTGCAGGGTCAGTCTTTGAGACATCCAACCCCAAACACGCCCAGCACGAGAGCACCACCAGGGCCAGCGCGCGGGTAGTGGTCATCCTTCTTTTGGTGTCTCAATCGACCGTTGGTGTCAGACTCGACTACACCCGACGCGCAACACAAACCAAGGGTTAACAGGGATCCACCTCAACACAAACGCAATCACACACCCTCCTCCTCCTCCTCCTCCTCCCGTTTATGCCAAGGCATCGCGCGATCCGTCCTTCACCTGCACGGTCGCGTCCCTCACTGACGGCGTGTGTGTGTGTGCGTGTGTGTGTGTGTGTGTGCGTGTGTGTGTGTGTGTGTGTGTGTGTGTGTGTGTGTGTGTGTGTGTGTGTGTGTGTGTGTGTAAAACATCAACAAAGTATAAGTGTCACGTAACGTTAACTTCACAAGGAAAAAAGTTGTTTCTGACTGCCTTCGTGTTTTTAAGAATTGATTGTGTCACTTTCCCTCTTCTGTTTTGGACTTGTGCCTCTCTAATTTTAATATATTCGGTAAACTCTTTGTCTCTGGGAAGCAATCTGTGCTCAAGCCAGTCTCTGGATTTGTGTCTGATTCGCCGTTTCTGAAAATAGAGAGTATAGCGCTGTCTCTGAAAAAGATACTTGGTCGCTCCATTCTCTTTCACGACTCGTTTGATTTTTTTTGCAGACGGATCGTTGGTCGGTGGGTCGCTCGGTGGTCGGCAGCTCGGTGGTCGGCAGCTCGGTGGTCGTCGTTCTGGTTCTGGATGGGAGCCTGTTTGCGAGCTGGTGTGGGATTGGGAGTGACCTTTGGATTCTCAATCGGTTGGCTCGACGGACTGGACCACTTGGCAGCCGCAGGCGGGCTACACTGACACACCAGCAAAGATGGCGGGCAATGGCGAGGAAGACATCTTGCCGCCGCACATGGCTCGTCTGCTGACGGACAAGCTCTATGAGAAACGCAAAACGGCGGCGGTAGAGTTGGAAAAGTGAGCTTGCTTGCTTTTGGTGTTTGTGGCCCTTCATCGTGTCAGCTTCTTCCAGACTAAAATGACTTTCTGGGTGGCCATAGGTACATCAAAGACTTGCTCCAGCAGTCGCCGCAGAACGAGGCCAAGGTCCGCTCTGACTGCGATCCCTGTCGTGAAACCAAGCACCCACCTTGGTCCTGCTCATTGCCGCATCCCCAATACGCGTGGTGGCATAGGTGGCCGCCATTCTAGCGCATCTGCGCAAGAAGTATTTTATCAAAACCAATGTCAATGCTCGCAAGGGCGCTCTCATTGCCTTTGCAGCCGTGACCATGGCCGTCAAGCAGGTGGGTCCTTCATGTTGGCCATTTTTGTTGAGGGTCTTGGCCTCCATGCATGCCTTGGCCTCCGTGCATGGGCCAGTGACTAGCTTGTCATGTGTTCTGATTCCGTTTGTGTTGCCTGCTCGGCCAACGCCAGGTTTTGGGCTGCAGTCGTGAGTTCATGCAGGAGGTCGTCCCACCCGTTCTCACTGGCATGACCGATGAAGATGCGCGTGTCCGTTACTTTGCCTGCGAAGCCATGCTCAACATCGCGCGCACGGCCCGTGGTAATGTTTTGCCTTTTTTCAACCGTCTCTTTGATGCCCTGTGCAAATTGGCTGCTGATTCCGACCCCAACGTCCGCAACGGCATTGAGCCCTTGGATCGCACGCTCAAGGTCTGCCGCCTTGCCTTTTTATTGCTTTGGCGCGTGCCGATACTTGCATCGTGCCGATTTTAGACATGAGGCGAAACATCATCCGTTATTCATGTCACTCATTGCTACCTAGGATCTGGTGACTGAGCACGGTCAAGTGGACGTGGAGTCCTTTGTTCCCTTGCTGCGCGACCGCATTCGCACGACCGATCCTCGGGCGCGGAGAGTAAGTCTCGCCTAACCTCTCCCCTTGACTTCTGTTTCTGTTGTGTGGCGTGAAGCTGCTATGCGCCTGCACCGCGTGCAAGTATCAAGGCCCGTGAATAATGCTCCTCTTGTGGTGCCACCCGCGTAGTTTTTGGTATCATGGCTGCAAATTTTAAATGCCGTTCCCGACCTGGACCTCATCTCTGAGTTGCCAAAGTTTCTCTCTGGCCTCTTTGAGATTTTGGAGGAGCCCACTGCCGTCAGTTTGCCCGCCATTCCGTAATTGGGCTCCTGTGGCCGCATTTTGGTGCAAAAACAAGCCAGATCATTTGCTTACTTATTTGGTTGCCTCATGTCAGGAGATTAATCGCCTCTGCTTGATCGTCTGCAAGGAGTTTCTCAAAGCTTTGCCGGTGAGACTCTTGCATGTGTCGACAATGGACAGTCCGGTACTGTACCGGCTTACATCGCGCCTTGTGCCCACAGTCGGCTACGCACCTCAACACCCGCGAGCTCATCTCCATCGCCACCCACTACTGCTCATCTGAGCGTACGTCTCTCTCTTTTGTCCTCGAGCCGTGGTTGCTTGCCAAAAGTGCCTGGGTGTGGTGTTTGCCGATTTGACATCAGCAAACGGTTTTCCCGAGAGCTGGAAGGCGTAACACCGACTCAAGGTCTGCATTTTTGGGGTGTGCTGGGCCGATGTAGACTCGCTCATTAAACGGACCGCCATCTCCTGGGTTCGCGAGTTCTTGGAACTGTACAAGGTTTGTGATTGTCAACTGCTCATCCGATTCTCATTTTGTCCTGGTCATTCAAGTCCTGCCAAACTCAATGTCACAATTTGTCTGTCTGTCTCTCTTTTCAGCATGCACTGCTTCCCGCGGTGGCTGATTTGCTGCAATCCATTCTGCCAGCCATGAGCGATGCAGTAGACACGGCCCTCAAGTGAGTGGACCCATGCGTACCCATGCAACAGACTTGCCCGTATCAGCCTCTGCTGCCTATCCGCTCATGCGATGTGTTGTAGGGAACTCTCGCAAACCGTCAATCAAGGGTTGTTGCGTCTAGTAGCTGACAGCTCATCCGAAGGTGCTTTGCGCCTTCTCTCAATGACATTCTATGTTTGGATAACACTTACCACCAGCCTTCTTGGGTCAAGGTCTGATTTGCCTCATTTTCCTTGCACTCGCTTCTCAAAGAACTTGCGGCCTTTAATTTTGATAAGACTTTGACTGTGTTGGTTGGGCAATTGGCCATCGAGGTGAGTCCTGGTCTACCATCCTGGTGCTCGTCGTGCCCCGATGGTTACTCGACATGGTAGCTCTTTACCACAGCGTGACGCTCATTTCCTGGCTCTCGTTCACTTGACCAGGCTGTGGATACGCGACTTGCCGCCTTGCGTTGGCTTCTTATGCTTCGCGAAAAGATGCACCGCCAGGTTGGCTGCAGGGCCCGGCTTAAATTTCACAACTCGGTTGACCTAGAATCCTCTTATTGCAAGTGTGCCGGCCCATTTTATAGATGTATGATCACGTCGAATTGTTGATGGGGCCGCTGCTCTCCGTGTTGAATGTCAAGGCCGACAAGGCAAGCGGCGCACCCCGCTTTGTTGCATCCTCGTTTCTTGACTCAACGCTCGAGTCTTCTTGAGTTTCCTTCTGTCATGGCTGCTCTCTTCTGGTTTCTTCTCCCCCCTTCTCATCCCTGTCGGCGGCTTGTTGTGGGCTCTTTTGCCTGTGTAGGTCATCGACTTGGATTTGGAAGTTTTTGCGGAAATGTCGTCATCTGATGACGATGACGCAGAGGATTGTACAGATGCCGCACAGCTTTTCTTTGAAGGGTGCGTCAACACTGTCGTTCCTGTAGAGGGGTATTTATGCCGACTGCTCGTGCTGCGTCTCTCGCGTGCGTTTGCTTCAAGTTGGCCTCACGCGCTGCGCTTGCAGCACCATGGCCAACATCCTGAAGCTGTTTGATACAGATCGCACCCTGCTGGCACAGCGAGGTGCCTACATCATTCGCACATTTTGTCGCTTCCTTGGTGCCGAGCGCGTGTACCGAAGCTTGGCTGGTACGTAAAACCATTACGAATGCGGTTGGCTACACAAAGTTGTGCGGGCTGATGCCGATCTTTCTTTGGCTGTGCAGGCAGCGTTTTGTCTTCGGCTGATCCTGAGTTTGCACCGGTGATGGTGCAACATTTGAACGTCATCTTGTTGACGGCAACCGAGCTCTCGGAGCTTCGTCTTGCGATTCGCCAGTTAGCAACACCTGAAAGCAAGGCACTCTTTTGCGACCTCTATCGGCAAGTCCACCGTCTGCTGTTGCCCGCATGTGCTTGGTGCATCCTGCTTCTGCGAAAGCAGGCGCGGATCGACCATATTCACCATAACCTCAGCCCACCTCGTTGTTCATTCCAAACTTGTTTTCACTTTCTTCTTTGTGGCATCGGTAGGTGCTGGTGCTTTAGTCCCGTGTCAACCCTCTCCCTCTGTTTGCTGGGCCAAGTGTACGATCATGCCTGTGACGTGCTGGCCAAGTGCGGCCAGGCTCCGCCCACTGTTTCCTTCCTTGTGGAGGTACGTCTCAACCTGGGTCCATTTCACCACATTGATCATGCTTGTAACAAGGCAAGGGGTTCTCATCTTGGGCCACCGTGGTACCGCCACATTTGACTGGCGTGAACGTGTACCCAGGTCGATAAGCTGGTGCAACTCCTTGAGTCTCCAATCTTTACATATTTGCGCCTGCAACTGCTTGAGCCGCACACTTACAGCTACTTGATCAAGTGTCTTTATGGCCTACTGATGCTGTTGCCCCAGGTGAGCCAAGATCCCAGCCCCCTGCCACCCCCTCCTGCACGCCAATATGATGCTGTTACTCAATCCATTCGATTTTGGCTCCCAATCGTCCCCTATTTGAGCAGTCAACGGCCTTTATGACGCTCAAGACTCGCTTAGAGGTTATGCCAGTGGTTGCAAGCACGCTGGGGGATTTGGATCGGTCCGTGGCTTCGACGCGCGTTGATCTGTGAGCACAACTCTTTCCGGGTTATCAGACCTCATGTCGCGCTGCACCTCTTCATAGTGCCAACAAGGACAAGAGCAAGGGCGGCAACATTGGTAGCGGTCTACCCTTTGCAGAGCTCTTGGCTCACTACGATCAGATTCAGGTGCGTCCACCGGGGCATCTTACATGGCCACCTTACATGTTCACGATCCTGCACCACTCTGCCCGTAAGACGACCGTCATTCATGCTCCACATGCATCAACTGTTATAGGCGAGGGCAACGACGCATGTGCACGCCTAAGTTCGGCTGCGCTGCAGGTGTTGTGGTCAAATGGCTGAGCTTTTCATCTTGACAAGCGAGGAAACAGCGAATGAGAATATCTCGAGTTTGTCAAAACTAATTGTTGGTGATCATGAAATTCTTCGGGTTGTGACAAACGCAACCAACACACAAAAACCCAGAACTACGATGGATCTTGCATGGCAAGACGGTGCTTCGCAACATTGGCGCAGAACTGGCGCTAGCACATACACACATGAGAACACCCAAGTGACACGAGGGGAGTGCCAACAAGTAAAAATCAAAGGCAAATCGACTTTGATCACAGAAAGCAGCAACAATAAAATAAAAGGAAACACAGATCAGATCAGATTACAAAGGTCTATATTAGAGTAGCACTGAACACATGAGCGAGGTTACACGACCAAATTGCATGGGCTGCACTCTCGACACAGAGAGAAGAAAATAGCAAAAGGACTGATGTCGCAATGCCAGTCATCACAGCACGTGGCTGACGGCACGAGCAACTTCAATGCGACGTTCCAGCGCCGCTGCCCGAGGGACACTCAAAGGCACACGATTAAAGCGCACGACATGAACAGGTGGCATCAAATGATTCCACAACCGAAAAAAAAAAAAGCGGTGAGGCCAAAAAAACAAAAATCAAAACAAAGCAAAAGCAAAGTCTCGACCAGGCAGGCTTGAGACAAGGAACAGCCCAAACGTTCCAAGAGCAAAGCCTATGCCAGCGTCTTGTGATGCTGCTTAAAAGCAGAGTGCAGTTTGAAGTGCCAAAATGTCAGCACGCATGGCCTCCATGGCCTTGGCGTACTCGGCACGCTGAGCCTCGAGGACATCGATCTATCGCAGCGAGCGCGCGGTGTGCCAGACAGCAAATGAGGTGATGCGAAAATCATGCCGAGAAAGCAGCGCCGGTGATGGCCAGGCGGCCAGACGATCAACCCACCTCTTCATCATAGGCCTGGCCTCTTAGGTTTTGTTGCGCACGGTAGCGTTGCATGTATTGACGTCGCCACTCCTTGGTTTTAGAGCGCGGTCGCGCGTCATCGTCCTTGTCATGCTCAACTGAGTGGCAGGTATCAGCACCGCTTGTTGATCCAGCACTGTTCATGCTTTCCGGGCTATCAGCAGATAGAATGGGGACGGTACTATTTCCACTTGCGGTGGCATCCGTCGCTGAGTAGTTTGGGCCGAGCGAGCAAGAGGGGATCAGAGGAAAGGGGAGTGAGGGCGCTGCTTCAGTGATATCGGGACACAGCGCGCGCGCGCGCGCAATTTGCAGCACTGGGAAGCTTGAACGCGAGTATGAGCCTGAGACGTACTGCTCATAAACTGCTTGAGAACCACCATTGATTGATCAGCTCCCACAGTTGTGGCCAGAGCAATTGGTAACTGGCCTGCAAATGATCGAGGCATGGACCGTGGGTAAGATTATAGGCACAGTTCAAGGTTACAGGCACATTTCACAAAGTTATGGGCACTGTTCACAGGATGATGGGCACAGTTCACATATGCCACGGTAAAACCCAGTCGGGTGGCGACGTACCATCGACGGTCGGTGTGATGAGGAGAGAATTGAGACAGCCACGGTGCTGTGCAGAATTGAGAATCATCTTGACAACCTAAAAGTCCAAGGAAAATAAGGATGAGGGGTAGCAAGGCGGACAGAGTCATGATGAGCCGGCAAGGCGGTGCACCATGAGACAAGGTTGACAATGATGAACATACAGATGGGTTATCTTCCCGAATGGCTAGCATAAGGCTAGTGTTATCGCGCTCGTCAGTGATACGCAGGTCCAATTGCTCCGAGCCCAAAAGTACACCACAGCATGCCTCGGCGTTTGTAGCCGCCTGCACCAAAGACAACGTCACATGAGCAAAGCAGCAAAGGCAGCACAAAGACACAAAGTGCACATTGGCTCAGCTTCTAGCCAATGCACCAACGCACCGCCCAGTGAAGAGGAGTCCTAGATTGCCAGTCGGTCAAATTGGGATCAGCTCCCCGCTCGACAAGCAAGGCACAAAGTCGTTCGTTGTGCTACATGGCGCAACGTCCGGACCGCGTCAATGAGTAGAAGATGATGACACAGTCGCGTTTGTAATAAAAGGGAACGGCGCGTACCAGCATGCAGGCGAGATGGAGCGGGGTTTGGTGCCGTGAGTTGGTGTCATTGACATTCGCACCGAGCAGCAGCAGGGTGCCGCAGCCATCCAGGTCTTGCAGGTTAATTGCCAAGTGCAAAGGCGTGTAACCCTGAGGACAACGGGAAGTGGGGGGTGGCCATCAAAAACTGTGCCGGTCCACGGAACCGGCGCGAAGGACAAAGTGGAAAACGGCCGGCCATAGTCTCACATACCTCGACGTCGGGGCTGTTAATATGAGCGCCAGCTGAGACCAGGGCGGGAAGACAATGTGCGTTTTGGTGAAGCAGAGCCCAATGAAGGGGTTGGAGATCGTTTAGACGAGGCGCTGTTGAGTGTCGAGCCAGGCTGAGGGCATGGGCAAACTCTACGTCATCATGGAAGGCAATGGCTTGCAGGAGGGCTGCAGCCCAAACATCAGGACTAGCCAACGTCTCAAGCAAGTGATTGGCCTGAAACATCAGGGCCGGGTCGCCATTGAAGCGGGGCGGGGAGAGAAGGGCGGCATCGGACTGGGCGCCAGCCGAGGCAGCCATCATCTCCGAGTCGCTGTAATTGGGCAAGGATTCATTGCTGTCGGTGTGGCTTGCAGCACTGGCACTATGCGTCGTGAGCTTTGACATGCGCGTCGGCGGCTGGCTTTCAGAATCATCGTTATGTTGGCGGCGCTTGCGGGACAGCATGAGGAGCAGAGCGGCGCCAAAGGCAATGAGCACAACTACGGAGGAGACGGTGGAAGCCAACACGGCGCGTTGAAAAGCAGCCGCTCCTGAGCGAGATCCATCGCCGTTGGCTGTGGTAGTGGGTGGGGTCGTGGAGGTGGTGGGTGTGGTAGTTGCTGTGGTAGTGGGTGTGGTCGTGGAGGTGGTGGGTGTGGTAGTTGCTGTGGTAGTGGGTGTGGTCGTAGAGGTGGTGGGTGTGGTAGTTGGTGTAGTGGTGGGTGTAGTGATGATGGCGGCGGCGGCGGCGGTGGTGGTGGTAGGGACGGCGGTCATGTTCACATCACAGATGCGGCTCGGATCCAAGCTTGGCTGAGCCTGCGGAAGTAGGTTGCTGGCTACTTCTGATGTCGTGGGTATATCAAATTCATATCCATTGATCATAACGTGGGATCGACTGCCCACAAAGTCATGGCTGTTGACGCGAAGGTCGCGTGCCACGGCTGAGAAGGAAAGAATTTGGCTGACGTTTGCAAATACGAGGCGCATGTCAGTCTTGGTCAGGTCCAAGACAACGTCACCGAGGGAGGCGCACGCCTCGAAAACTACCAGGGTTTCTAACTTTGAGCTCTATCGTCATGGGGCAGGGTAGAATTACGTGAGGATTCAAGTATGGGGCAAGCCGTGACCACCTGAAAGCGAAGGCACATCGGAGCGTACCTTCCCGGCAAAAGCTTGGAAAACATCAATTGAGGCCAGGGCAAGGCGGTTTTCGATTTTAGCTCGATCGGCTACGTCCACGTGAAGCCGGGACACGTGTGTTCCAGTCAAGCTCAAGGCATTGATTTGATCCCGTGCGGGCGAGTTGTCGCAAAAAATCATGGAGTGGAGGGTGCGGTTACGACCGAGATTAAGCGTCACTTCAACGCCTGCCTGGGCGGCAAAATGAATGAGGACCGTGTCCAAGTGCACGGAACAGGGGGCATTCAGCACGACGGCAGAGGCGCCATTGTGGATGATGGTGATGATGACAGCTTCGGCGGAAGACAAGGGTTCGAGGTTGATAATGGTCGTGCCGCGGCGATTGATGACAAAGTTGAGTGTGTTGTTGAGTGTTGTGACGTTGGAAAATGGCCAGGTCCAAGTGGCGATGCTGGCAGATACCTCTGTCCCTGCTTCATCGTCATCTTCGTCCTCATCTTCGTCCTCATCTTCGTCCTCATCTTCGTCCTCATCTTCGTCATCATCTTCGTCATCATCTTCGCCCGGGCCAGCTGGAGTGCTGGCTGTGATATCTATCTGGTAATCTTGGAACGCATTGACAGCATCGGCTTGGGTGGGCAGGGCAGGGGCTCCATCGAGGACGTTCAGTGCTTGGCAGGGTCGATTTGTCTGCCGACGAAAAAGTATGCGAAAGAGTGTGTGAGAGAAAGGGGGGAAGCCCGTGCAAGTTTATGTCATGCGGTAAATGGCGTGGTGGGATAGCACGGGGTCTGTTTGCGCGACGCACCTGGTCCCAAGTGCTGGCTGCATGGCCCGAGGCCAAGCGCAGGGTGAAGAGACAAAAACACAGGACGATGCCAGAGTGAAACACCATGACGATCGTGCTGAGGAAACCCATTCAAGCAGCGTTGTCGTTGGGCATTGTGTCGCAACTCCAATGGCACAATGTCTTGGCGGAAGCGGTGCGAGCATGTGTAGTCGGGCTGGGAAGTTTGCCTCAACGGAGTGCACAGGCAGGCAAGCTTCGGCAAGGCGCGCGGTTGGCCCGAGGGCAATAATATGATGATGAGCGACTGTATCCGGGAGGGAGGGACCGCCGCGAGAACGAGGACGCAACCCGGGCCAAAGGTTGGCACGAGGGGTGTGCCCAGGGTTGAGTGACTTGAGGTGTGGCGTCTACAAGCCCTGCAGCATCAACCCCACACGCGCATACGCAAGCAAATCGGGCACGGTAAGAGAGTGAGAGAAAGAGCCAGAGCGAGAAGAAGGTGGGCAGGGGAAGGGGAAGGAAGGGGAAGGCAGGGGAAGGAAGGGGAAGGGGAAGGAAGCGAGGGGGCCAAAGGGTAGCGCCATGTCTTTTTTTTCTTGTCTTGTGCTTCTTGTTTCCCCCGTCGGCAGCCAGACCGGATGGATGCACCAAGGCAATCAAGGAGCAGATGCAGAAGCAGAAGTAGGAGAAGAAGCAGAAGAAGGAGAGGGAGAAGGAGAAGGAGGAGGAGGAGAAGCAGCAGAAGCAGAGGCGCGCGGGCGGGGCGCGCGGGTAGCGCAAAGGGCAGACCCACCAGCTGAATGTGGGTGTTGGTCTCTTGTCACAAGAGAGCAGAGACGGACCAACAAACGGCGTGATATCGGCAGGCGTCCTCGACTGAGAGAGAGAGAAGGAGAGAGAAGGAGAGAGAGGGAGCGTGTGTGTGTATGTGTGTGTGTTTGGGTGATTGGCCTGAGCCAGTATCTCCGGGGGGTTTGCAATTCAATGTCCGGTGCCGGGGTGCCGATGCCGGGGTGCCGATGATGCGTGTGCCGGCGGTGCCGCGAGCGCGGGAACGAGCGGGAACAACGACAAGGTGGAGATTGCCCTTGTTGTTGTTGTTGCACGCTCGGAGAGGGAGAGGGGTGGAGGGGGAAGAGATGTGGGGTAGGAGAGCAGGGGAGGAAGAGGGAGGGGGTAGGGACGGGTGTGGATGAGAGACTTGGGTGAGGTGGGGGAACGGGGTTTCGGTAAGTTCAAGGTGATAATAGAGAAGGAACAAAAGTGTTGTAGAGATGAAGAGAAAGTCTGTCGTTGAGAATGGATCACAGAGGGACACGTACCCCCACCATTGATCTTCAGAGAAAGAAAGATGTACCATCAACCGATGCAAAAGAACAAAAGAATCTTTGTCTCGTTGCCTCTTAGTAAAGCTTTACCACGCTCCATGCTATGCTATGCTGCAGCGGGCATAAGAGGACCATCAGCCAGTACTCGTGGAGGGTGTATAAGGTATCGCGAACAAAGGTCTTATGGATTGGCTGGGTTGTTTCGTACCCAAAATGGTAAAACCTCTGTAAACCTCTTTTGGCTTGGCTCTGCGCGACCCAAACCCAAACTTGACGCCCAGCCTGTGCGCCCATGGGAAACACAAAGGCAGGCGGGAGGGTGGCGACACAGCAACGCGACAAAAACATCTTATACGACCAAATAATGCCATGCGCGGCCAGACGTAACATGGCAAAAAGAATTGTGCCGTGGGACCTGAGCATCTATGGGGCATGGTGTGTCGCGTTTCCGTATCAGCAGATCGAGCGACCCATGACTAACACATCATCTCAAGAGGGTCTGAAAAATCTTTGTTCATGATGTCAGATAGAATTGTATTGTCAGACGACGAGAAAAACATTCATGTGGTAGCAGAATGATTGAAAGAAAAGAGCCAAAGGTGTGCTCCAGTGCCATGCGCCATCCGCGTCCCGGCGTGATGCCGCTGGTCTCTTGATGGCCCTGCTTAGTGGCCTCCTACTCTTCTCGCCCGCCCAAGGTAGCAGAATACACCGCCCCTAGTCCCCTGTCAGCACGTATTCAGCCAACCGCAGGGTGTGCGGAGCGCCCCCCCCCCCCC